ATCAAATAAGACAAACTGAATATGTAAATTGGTTCGTTCAGCAGCTCAAAAAGTAGTCAAGTATTTATTTCATTTGCAGTTTATTTCAAATAAATAAGAACATTTCTAGTCAATTGTAGTCTACTTAACTTGGAAACTATTTCGAAAACAATGAGCAAACACAAAATTACAGAATATCCCCTTGACAAACCATTCTCCTTTTCACACTTTTACTTGTGAGAATTCCGCCAGAAATTTGCATAGCGAAAAGTTGTGAATTTTGGAAGCAGTTGATTTGGTTGATCTACTTGCTTGTTTTTGATATTTTTTTGTTTTTTTATTTTTGTTTTTTTGTTTGTTTTTGTTTGCCACGATTGTCCCTAGGAGTCATCAAAACGCATGAAAATGTTTAAAGTTTTGCTTTTTAGTTAGTTTCGCCTCGTTTCGTTGATGTTTGTTGGGCTGTGGGTTGCGGCATGTGGCATAAATCCTTCAGCTTTGAACTTTTTGTTTAAAACTTGTTAATAACAATTCGAGCGGCGAAACTTTCTACCATTTTTTCCTATTTTCTCCACTTTTTTTACCCCTTTCTTTGTTTTTGCTTTTGGTTTTTTGTTTTTTGATGTTGTTTGAAAAAATGAACAGCCATTTGGGTTGTTATGGTTCATTTTGCTGTTGTTGTTGTTGTTGTTGTTGTTGTTGTTGTTGCTATTGTCGCTCTCGGCGCACAACATCCAAAGCTCATTTATCACAATGATGAAGTTGCAGAAGCGTGCGCCGTGTAGCAGGATGCTTGCATGGCAGAATGACGCCTTGTCATGCCAAGTATTCGATATTCAGGCTTTTACTTTAATCATAAACGAGTACAAACCCACTCACACACCACACACCACACACACACACACATGTGGAGTCACCACACATATATATATGGATACCTCAAAAATGCAAAACATGTTGCCTAGTCAACGCTTTAGAGACTTTCTCCTTGAGAGTCCTTTCCATTGCAATCCCTTCCCAGCCACCCGCAGGCTGCAGTTAACAACTTCAATTGCGTTGATGATTTTGTTTTTAAGTGCTTGTCGCTTCTTCGCCTTGTCATCTTGGCTTGTCACAGTTTTCTAATGTTTTTCAAATCATTTTCCTAGCCCTCCATTTATGAGAGTATGTGCTCGCAGTGAGTTCACAATATTTATTGTTTTATCACTTTTGACTTGAAGTAGCTCGGCTGTATACTTATTGCCATTGAAGTTTTTATTTGAGTTGCGACTTATTGACTGGCTTTGTATAAAATATATATTTAAATATTACTATTATATGATCGACTCACTTCGAGGCTACTTTAAGTTATTCATTAAATTATGCATAAAACTGAAATAAAACTTTTTAAAAATGTTCACTGCCCTTCAATTTAATCGTACTCGGAACTCATTTATCAAACAGCAACTGTTTTGTCATTTTCCTAAAAATAAAATTGTAAAAAAGCGAAATGCCAAAATGTCCATTAATAAACGACAATTAAAAGGCAGCTTTTCGTGGCTCATGGCTCATGGATCATGGCTCGTGGTCCAAATTTTGCTTTGATGGTGCCGCTGTCGTCAAGGCTCCTTTTTATTTTTTATTAATTCGCAATCGTGAAAGCAGCGCAAGCTGTGCCAGTTTTCGAAATTGATGACCCCATGACCTCCCAAAAAAAAAACAAAAAAAAAAAAGGAAAAAAGGAAAGTATAAAAACGACCACACACAGTAAGAACTGTAAAGAAAAAACCGCCAACACAAAAATGTGCAACAGACTCCAAGGGGTAGCATTGTCTGGCCATTGTTTGGCACTTGGCTTGAGATGTTCTCAGTATTTATTTGGACAAATTCTTTAAAGTCAGCGCGTGCTTATCAACAGCAGCTCAACCCGGTGGCAAACCTTCCACAAAAAAGCCAAAAAATAAATAAAATAAATAATAAGAAAATGGGGGCGTTTTTTCTTATCGTTGTTGTTGCAGCTAAGCTTTACAAATTTGTTATTAAGATGTTTAACCAAACGTTTTGGATTTGTGTGCCTTCGAGGGCACCGTTTGGCCTTTAGCACAAAAATTGCCTCAAATAAATGAGCAAATATATATAAAATGATCCCCGGCGCATCCTTTTGTGCGCCTTTGCCCTCCAAGCAGCCACACTGGACCATAGACAGACTGAGAGAGAGAGAGAGAGAGAGAGAGAGAGAGCGGCATATGTTACATGTGCTACATGTGTTTATACAAACAACAATCAGAATGAGAACTGGGGGGGTTATTGGGGGTAGATCAAACAATTTGTTCATAGCGCCAAACAGCGCACAAATATCGAAAACTAATTTCATCAAATATTTACGGTTCATAATAAATCAATTTGCACTTTCCTGTCAAATAAACCAAAACTCTGCTTAAACACGAATTTGCAGTGCTCTAACTTTACTTTTAAGAATTTCATCAGTGCTGTGACATCTAGTTCTAAATAAAGTTTATAAAAGCCCATATTTGTTATAATATTCTATATTTTTTTAACCATTGAGCAGTTTGTGCTTTGTTCTTAAATAAACAAAAAGACGAATTTGCATTGCTCCAGAATTTTTTTAATAATTAGAAGCCGCATTTGATTTAATAAGATTTACATAAGCTATGTGCCATCAATTAAAAACCAATACTTGTTTCAATGCCCTACATTATTCCAAAATTGCTTACTTATCTCACTCAGCGACAAATCGAGCCTAGAAACCAATATACCCCTAAAAACATTAAGTGTATGCATCTCAGTCGCACGCACCTAATTAAATGAAGCACACGAGCTGGTGCCAAATGGTCATATGTTACGCATACGCCACGTGTGACGCCTAAAAATGCTGGTCGCTTGCTGCGCTTTGGGCCATTAATCAAATTGGCATTGCCAACAATGCGAACACCTGCAGCTGCAGTCAAACCATATGCACTAAGAAGCAAAACAACAACTAAAAAAATTGTTTAAATAATTGAAGGGGCGGCGTGAAATGTGAGAGGAGTTTGCCCTGTGGCTATTTGCACTGCGCTGACGCACTAATTTCCGCCTTTGGCCCATTGATGTATCAATAACAACATTAAACGGCGAGTTGTGTTTTATGGTGTGTGTGTGTGGTGTCTGTATGTGTGTGTGTGTGGTGTGTGGTGTGTGTGTACGGATGACAACACCATCAACCGAATCATTAGCATCAAAGTAAATTTACGTTTATTGATATTGGCCGCGGGCAAAACTATCTGGCCATAATTCAGCAAGTGGCAGGCAATTGATAAGGTGGCATGAGTACTACCAGCAATACTACCCCATATATTGTAATTTCTATAAAAGCAATTGCAGCGACGCCTTTGCCGTTGGCCAAGGCATTCGTGGATGTGCTTACGGCCCAATGTATGCAAAATACTTGCCAGTAATTCCTTTTGGCCCTCGCTGCACAACTTATGCAAATGTTCATAGCTGAGTTTCAGTTTGAGTTTGAATTTGAGTTTGGTGCCTTGTCTTCGTCTTCGTCTTCGTCTTTGTCTTCGTCTTTGTCAAGCTGAAAGCAAAGCAGTTGCTTTCACAGCACATTGCATATTATACAATATATTTCTAGAGAACTGGTTCGAATACAAGTGTATCTTCAAGCCATTGTCTATCTGTGTGTGTGTTGGAATAGCTCGAAGTTTGCTCTTCTTATATAGGAAAATTGCATGTTTCGCTGCAATGAAAACAAATCGCAAAATTACCATAATCAAAGCATTAAAGGGAATTTTTTGTTCTTTCTATCTTCCTACAGATGCCGCTCTTATTCTCTCTATATTTCTATCTCCCTCACTCCCTATCTCTCTCTCTCTCTCTCTCTCTCTTTCTCTCTCTCTATCTTTTAGTTTTCATTTGTCTCATCTTGTACGCTGCCTTTGCCACTTTGAATGTTGCAATCACAATCGTCTTGTTGTCGCAAAAATAGTTAGACAAAGGGAAATTTTGTAAAGTTTTCGCGAAGTTTTCGACAAAATATCTTCAAGTAATTGGCCTCATTTGTCGTCAGTCCAAGAACACCAAATTCAATTTCAAAATAGATATACCCGATGGCACAGCAATTGATGCGAACATTTTGGGAATTGTTGCGCACAAGTTCGTTGTTTTTTTTTCGCTGCGGTTATTGGCTAAGTGAGTGCAATGTGAATAAATTATTTCATTATTTCTTTAAGATGCACTGCTTCGATTGATGTATGAAACATTTGTTTCTAAGAATGTATGAACTACCCAAAGCATTTTTTATGGCAGCAAATAAAATACATGCTACAAAATTAGCAACAATTATTAGCATACTTTCAGGCTGAATAAAAATGTGTGCTGAGTCACGTTTCGAACATTTACAAACATTTTAGAGTATATTTCTAGGATGAACGCTAAAATGTAGACGGCAAACTAGTTTCAAAAATTGCTTAAGTTCGACCAAATCCTTACAGATTTTCGAACGACACAATGCAAAAGAATCGCAAGGACCTTCTCTACCTAACTGCATTCAAGGCATATGGAGTCATCTAAGAAGCCAAATACTTCTGCTTGTTTTCTCGTAAACTAATCGAATCGGTAAGCCAATAACTATCTGTGACCCAAAGGACATCCCAGCTCAGAAATAGATATCCGCCCGAGATCCTTAAGGATACGGCTGAGATATGGTTACTCAAAAAGATTCGTTTGAAAAGCGCTTTCTATTGAAATCCTTGGTAACTTACAACCTGGCAGGAAAAGTCTAGTGCGCCGCTAAATATGATAGATGGCGCTTTACCTTGGTTGGTGTCCATACTAACAAATACATGGGAATTCTGTTTGCAAAAATAAATACAATTTTTTATTGATTTGTAGTTTTCATTATATATGTAAAAGATACAAATATTACCTAAAATTTGAAGCTACAGATGTTACAATTGTAAAAGACGAATAAATATCAATTGGAAGACAATAATTGACATTGACATACGATTTACGGGAGAATCAATACAATTTATGACTATGGACGCAACACAATTTAATTTACTTTAACTACGTACGACAAGTTATCAGCTAGGAACACACATTCAGACGAATCTTAAATTTCGAATTTGAGAGGGGACGAGGGGAAGGCATTCTTATTGCTTTGCAGTGGCAATTGCGACACTAACAAGTAAGAATTCCAGGGAACGGTTTGGGTTACCAGGACCACTTTGGCGACACCTTGTCAAAGTTAAACTCGTCGGGATGACCCTCGTGATTGGCATCATCCACGCTGCTCATCGACGACCATTTAAAGGGACCGCTGCCAATCTTTCGCATGGCAATCGCTCGCAAATCATTCCTCACCGGTCGCCGTTCCGTAATTCTCTCCAACTCTGCTAGAGCAGCTGCATCATCGATGCTCACACTTAGCCGCTCATCACCGATGGCAGAAGCGGGCGCTGGCTGATCCGACGACAGCTGGTTGTGGCTCTCCTCCAGTGATCTGGGCTGCTGGGCATGCTGCAATCGCAGGAAGATTGGTCCGGCAAAGGCGTGATAATCACTCATGCCCAATCGCGCATTGTACGAGAAGAGCTTGAGGTCAATGTTGCCATAGGCAATCGATTCATCGCCCAGTAAATCGCCGCGAAACCCGTGTTTGCGTAGAAATTTATCCACTGCCTCCAAATTGGTTAGTTCCGCCTCCTCGGCGGGCGTTAGATCCTGATCCTCGCTGTTGTTATCGCGCACGATGCCGCTGGCCTCCATCGTCTCATTGAAATAGGGCAGACCATTGGCCAGCCAGGTGGAATTGCCGGCCACAAGAAAATGTTCGGTGACATCCTTACTATGCATACGTCCCGGCAGCTGTTCCACAATCCAGACCATGTTCTTCAACTGATCATGTCGCTCATTGATGGCCGCATTATCGCGCTCATTGAGAGCGACTGGAGCATCATCATATTTCTCATCTGCATCGAGCGCATTGTAGAGATTATCCTGTGAGCCAAGCTTATTCAGATCGACACTGATCCACTGCTTGGCACCCGTCGACGGATGACGAGACATGGCACGCGCCCAGGTGCGTCGATCTTGGGCAATGCGATTGGCGGCCATTACACGCACCACAAGTGGCACCATATTCGTCACATTCACACCCTGCCACAGTGAGAGATTCTCGTTCTTGATGCCAACGCCGCCAACAATGGACTGCACATGTCTTCCCTTGACCACATAGAAATCATCCGTGGAGCCAATGATGCCCGGATAACCGGTGAAAGTGATATCCGCGCCGGGCACTGTGTTGCTGCGTGAATCGGGCGTAAAATGATAGTGAAACTTGTAGCGTTTCTGTATGCGCAACATGGACGAATAGCTGCCAGCGGTGCTGTGGCCAAAGAGCAACTGCAGCGACTCCGATGACGACTGCGCCAGCTTCTCTTCCTGTTTCAGAATCCGCGTCAGCATCGAAGCACTTGGCAGGAAGAAGTTCTTACTGCCTACCTCGGCAGTGCCATTGGGCAGCACATAGTTCTCATAGTAGACCTTCAGATCCTGAATATCAGCGGCCGCATTCATGAGCAGAAAATCTGATAATGGAATTTCCTCCTCCAGATCGGAGCGTGCACGTGTTGCGCCTCTGATGTAGCCCGTCTCCAAGCCCTTCAGCTGATTAAGTATTAAATGCACCTGATGCCAGTAGTGATCGTGTTTGGCCTTCGCCTCCGCCTGCGCCTGCAGATCTTCATAGTTTTGCGTGAGCAGTTCGCGCAGCCACTCGCAAAACTTTTGCGAGCTCTCATCCCGATCGCAGGACGATGAAATTGTGCTGCAAGCAGACAAAGAGAGAGACAGATTTGAAATGAGCAACTGTTGTAGTTGGTCAGCAGCTAGCAGCCACTTACTTGGCCCACTGATTGTAAATGTTCTTCCAGGTCAGCGAACCCTCCAACATGCCAGCGGCAAATGCCTGCACCCAGTCTGGATAACTTCGTTGCGTCTCCACCTCAATTTGTGCCCAACTGTAAAGATAAACAAATCAATTATTTATACATTCGATTTAGAGCGAATCTGTGTAGCTTACCCATTCTCAAAGACCGAATCCTTGTAGCATATTCTGGCCACGCCTTTGGGTATGTTAACCAAATCGTTTTGTTGCTTCCAGTTCTCGATGCGAAAGCCAACCTTCTTGGTCCATGTGGCGGTGGCACAGTAGGTGCCATCGTAATGTGGACGGTCCATGGAGCCGATGAAGAACGCACCGATCACCAGTAAACCGGCACCGATCAGTATATACGTTCCTATCCGCGTTTTTTGCCATGATGCACCAACGACTTTTAGCATGGTTCCGTCCGTCTTGAAGCCGCCTTTTTACCGGGTTAAAGCAAACAAAATTTGCACGATCGATTTGGTTTCCCCCCTTTTTTTAGCTTTAGCTGTGGCTATCTATAAATGTGAGTCTGATTTTTGGCGATGGTTTTCACTTCACAATTCACTCGCCCAGCGGCTGTTGTGGGCAATAGTTGAGATCGGCACGTGTGGCGTAGGAGTGGCCCAGTTTGATGGTAATCACCTGGCCAGGATATTGATGCTGCCGGCTGCTGTTGCTGCTGATGCTGCTGCTGCTGGTGTCGATAATGATTACGGTGGCCACGCTGTCAAGCGAAACGGCCGTTTGGTTCATCGGTGGTGGCGCTGCTCTTTAGCAGTGTTTCATTAAAATCAAATCAAAATCCAATTATAAATTGCACACTAATTATTGTTAATCTATCGAGTGGGTTAAGTGCGTTGCGTTGTGGTGGTTCTTTAGCTTGGTGGTTTTCTTTTGTTCGGTTCGCCGCTATGTCCCGTAGCAGCTCAGCTTTTGTTGTCGGCAATATGATAAAATGTACAGAGGTTCAAAATGTATCCCTGAAATGTACAACAAAGAAAAAAGCATGAAATTTTATATATACATATGCATAAATTTGTTCGATATTTCTTAATACGCAAATTTTTGGAAAATGATATTGGCATTTCACAAACACGGTTCAAGTATTTTGTTGGCATCTTTATGACGTCTTGGCTGCTTCATACATATTTAAATGAAAGGAACGCCCATTATGGTACCATTAGTCTAAATATTTATACAATGCGCATTCCCATTCAAATAATAATAAACATTTACCCAAATTTCAAATCGTTTTGTAATATGTCTTAATTCAATTTATGAACATTGCCACAAGCCTGATCTGTAATTCATAAATTCAAGGAAAATCTCATAAAATTGACTGACTGAATGAGTACCAAAGTATATTCGATTATTTGTCCATATACACGAACTATTTAAATTTGCACGGGATTAAAAAGTATTCGCACCTTCTTTATTGGTTGGGTAAACAAATATTTGAGCATTTGTAAAACTTATAAATTAATTTAATGGCTCTTGAGTAGCGAATTTTAATGGCGCCCAAATAGACCAGTAAACATTTAAGAGGCTCCACCTGGTCTATGTAGGCACAGCAGATATAATTCGACCACAAATTAAAAAACGAGATCGTTGGTTAATTAATCAGAGAGCAGAGTCCAACTTAAGTAATTAATAAATGATGCCAGACAAAAGATAACCACTAAAAAACATATGGCCCACATTTAATAATATTTTGGTAAGGAATCTCAAGGTTTTTGCCCTAACTCTTAATGTGTAAGATAAAGATAAAGAAAATAGAAGTGTATATACATAGAAACGGCGTGTAATTAGAATCTCAAATGGAAATTCGAATTGTACAAGTCGAACATGATAAACAAATTGAAATCGAGAAATTGTGTATACGCCCCGTTGTTCGTTCAATCGGTTGTTTTTATGGATTTTGAAACTACTGGGCACGTGTGGAATACTGCCGATGCTGATGCTGATTCTGATTCTGATGCTGATTCTGATGCTGTACACAAATTAATTCACCTGATTCCGTTGATGTTGTAAAACATTTGTATATATCTGTCAGATATAAAATGGCACAATTTGCATCTCAGCATCACTCAGTCAACAAGCAAATAAACTTTTAAGTCTCTCTAGTACGATTGGCGAGGTATTTTTATAGATCGATTGCCACAGTTTGCTTACTTAAGATTGCGCATAACAAAATATGACCGTATATATATATTTATATATATATATATCTTTTGAGATTTTCGACACTGCCACAGCCACGACATATGGTGTCTTTTTGGATATTATTTTGCATTTGATTTTGTTACTTACCTTTTGTTTCCCGGGTCCAGGAAGTTTAAATATCACAAGTCAACCCATTTGAGGAACTGCAAAGAGAAAGAATATTAACAAATATTAATCAATGTTTAGTCTGGTGATGCAAATAAAGTTTATAAAGCGGCGCCTAAAATCCTTGGGAATGCTCAATTCACTCAATTCACTCAATTCACTCGATACACTCTGTGAAAGCATTATTTTGTTTGTTTAGTTTATCAATTATTAAAGCGTCTCGTGATTAATCGGACACCCACGACAAGTTGCAAGCAACGACAGGCGATATCCAGTCAATATTTACCCATTCGCAGACTTTGTTTACTTAAAAAACATTTTTATATACGCTGCGCACGCGCACAAATTCGGTTCATGGTTGAAGTCGATGATCATTAAATGCTATATGAAATATGAGTGACTTGAATTGATTGGTGGTGGTCCCATGTTGCTGACGTCTAAACGCTAAACAAGAAGGGAAACACTTTCAATTGGAACAACAACCAGTTGATCTCTTCCAATGTTAAAGCTCAATCAGACTATAAACTACATGTGACTAGCTGCTCTTCTATATGTTGGCAATTACAGTAGACAAGCACAGGGCAAAGGTCAGCTGACTCAACAAAAATACTGAAAACAACTTGTGAGTGAATTACTGAAGCTGAAATTGCTGCATTGCATGTGATTTCATTATATTTTTTATAATTTATTCTTATATCTAGATAAGATTTCAATGTATTCTTATTTGTGCACGCGCTTCAGAAGCTGTCGCATTAAACGTCAGCAAATTAATCAGCTGACCAGTTTTATAAGCCATCAGCTTAATGAAAACATTTGTATTCATATTTGTATGAACTCGTTCAGAATTTATAACAACAATAAATTCGCTAGAAGTCATTCAATGAAAAGGCTAAGGCTTCATCTGAAGCAAATCCCTAACTGTATACAAGTAGTATTTAATGCACAGTAATTTTGTGAATCACGAGGTTTATTTTTGTGTTCAATTCTATAAGAAGTTTGTTGGCACTTTCACTGTATGCTGAGACTGTACTTTCTGATGATTATTTGCCTTGCATTGAAGCAAAATGAAATGAATTTTATTTTCGTTTCGCTTGTTTATTTTCACAAGTGAAAAGCAGCCGCAGAATCCGAACATCTTGCCCCATCCCCCGGGGCCCTAAAAAGATTGTTACTTGTTGTATACAAGAGAAAAGTTGATATGATATGTGAAAAATATTGACTTTCATTGTAAACGAAACACAGTCTCAGAGGAGAGTGCCTCAAGGCCGGCAGGAGAAAAGGCTGTCAATCGCGAGCAGCTGTCAATTGCCTGACATAAACTACGCAAATCTCAAACCCGTGAAGTGAATTCGCCGTAAAGTTGCCAATGACGTCAATAACTAAGAGTTTTTTTCGTTATCTAAAAAGCCAAATGCAAATTGCTTAACTATAACTGGGTTTGGCTTCAAATGCTCATAATCCAACCATGCAGCCGGCACTTGACGTCTTTGTTTTCTTCTTGTTATTTAATTAAGTTTATTATCGTTATCAACTTTTGTTTATTCCAAACACACACACACACACACAGAATAAGTTATTTTTGCTTAATTGTTGACTGTGTACATGGCTGATTTATAGAGTTCAATGTGCACACTGCCACAACTCAAATTTTGGAGACCTGCAACCAGGCAATAATACATTAGTAAGTATTATAAACTATAACTTGGCAACTGTGCACAATTTCTATATGCAATGTCAGCTAATCAATCATCTAAGTAAAGTGTAAATATTTGTTCAAGTTAATAACAAAAAACTCCGTTCATATAAACTTTCGCTCTGAATATGTCAAATCGATCGCGGCTGTTGTCAACTAAGCCTTATTCTGATAAGATTGCACTTGGTGGCATTATTTAGATATGCTGTCAGTCTGCCAACTGTTATAGTCTATATGCTAGCGATAGTGCTACTGCGCCTTTAGTAAGAAATGTCAAGCGATAAACAATATCTATTTGTTATATATATGATATACCCATCAATTTCGAGCTCAAATCATAAATATGTTGTCAGTCTGGCAACACGTAAAACAGATTTAGTTAGAGATATTTGTGCTAAGAAATCTTGAAAGATAAACACTATCAAATAATAAGTTATGTATCTATGTATCTCATTGGAAATTCCATAGATGTATTTCGATATTTGTGCAGACTGTACTCATTAGCGGCTAACTTAAAATTATTTACCGCTCTGCTAAACGATTCCATCAACAAAGCATGCCACGAACGCCTCCAGAATGACTTCTTTGATAAACAGCAATAAATTAGAAACGTATTTATTCATAAGAATAAAAAGAACTGAAAAAAAATTAGTACAAAAAATTTCCCAACATCAATAATAGTCTATGAACTAAGCAAACGAACAAAAATTATGGAAGGTGCTTAAAAATTAATGCGAATATATTTAAAATAAGTGCTAAAAGTTCCACGAAATCGAGAAGTACAAAACACCACATGTGGTAGAATTCTTTAAGACTGGGTGTTGTTGGGGTTGGGCTTGGGGTTGGGGGGGGTGTATCACCAAGGGAGTTCATGTGCTAGAAACGTGATCAAACTGTAGCTGATAAAGAATGTAGTCACAACCAGTCCGATATCATTCACATAGAATGTGTCTCATAAATAATTCAATAACCCAACGTTTATTCACTTGACAACAGCAGAAAAACTCTGTCTGCGACAGAAAATAAAAGTCGACCTGTCGCCAATGTGAGAACCTAAATTAATGCTGAATGGAAAAAGCAAAGCTAGCAAAACTGATCCCAAAATGCAAATGAATGTGCAATAATTGTAATACACACAAGTATGGGTCAATCATTTACAACTTCGGTTATACGATCCATTAAAAAAAAATCTTAACTGCGCCACGCGTCGTCAGCGGTGCCTGATTAGCAAATGGAAGCCGTAAACCTGATCCCAGCCCACAATGTAAAAGACAGCTAAGCAGAATATAACAAAATGTAGACTGCTTGTAATAAAAAACTGCAACAGGATAAACCTATATGATAATGGCATTATCATAAGCAATATATTTGCTCAGACTTCGCGACGTCTGAAGAGTATGTTTGCACATAAAAACTAAACACGTGGCCAACTGTTATTTAATACTGCATTTTTATCAGTGGGGAATGCATTCGGGGAACGCATGCTTTGCTTTGTCAGCTGATTAAACAAGCAATTAGCAGATCTTATGAAAACCTTATGAAATGTTATTCACAATTGTAATCAGCTGAGAAAAGCTGAGAAATCTAGAGTCTAGACTATGATGCAATTATAATTGTTAATAATTATATCAGCTATCAGCATACTTAAACAGGTATTGTATCAACCCTTCAGCTGTTTTAAAGCTAACTTAAGCCCACCATTCACACCTCTATTGTAATGATATAGTTGTATTTCTTGATTTGTAGAATGCCATTGAATAAGTTAGTTTATATGCTTTTTGCATTAGCAGTTTTCCTTCGTTTAAAATACATTTTATTGTGTGTTAGCCAATCAGCTGCTTTTTCTCTATTAAGGTTTTTCTTGCAATTTGCTTTTGGTGTTTGTGATTCAGACGATTTACGAGAATTTGCCTTGCCTTCCGTCAGTCTCTTTAGTATATATATATATACATATACATGAGATTAGTTGATCTTTTGGCTTCGAAGCTCAGTTAAGATGCTCTTAGCTTATTCAGTTCATTTACCTTTATAGAAAAATATATAATTTAGATGTACAATCAGTGTACTTGTGCACAGTATATTGAAAAACTGTTGGAGTTCAAAAACAAAAGATTTTGGATTGATTTATTTCGGATTATAGTTTGTTGAGAAGAAATCGGACAAATCTGCACTGACTTCAGCCACAATAACTCAAGGATATTGCTTCGCGTAACGCCGAGATAAGAATCTCGTTTTAAAGTCAGTTTGCAATTTTTCAAAAACGACAACAAAATGAAATTTTCGCGCCGATTTCGACCGATTGCCTTGACGTTTCCACCAAAACTGCGAGCGTTCAATTTGGCTAGCCAAACGAGAGCGAGAGAGAAAAAGTGTGGGAAATTCGACCACCGACAATCGACAGCCGACAGCCGACGGACAATTTGGCGATTTGCGTTGTTAAAAACAAAATCCGAACATTTTCAGAGCACGGTCAGAGCAGTATTCTATTGAACTTGGCCGTCTGCTGTTTTGGCCCTCAAAAACAGATATTGAGCTACATATCTGTATCTGCGGCCTGTCCGAAGATCTGCCACAAATCTGTGCGGTGCCACCGCCGAGCACGTTGCAGGGCAGTTGGCAGGTGGCAGGTGTGCTCTCTCTGTAAGAATAATTGTGAGCTAATGTAAATTGACTAGTTGACAGCTTGCATATACAAATAATGACAACCCATGCATTTATCAGTCATTTAGTGATGAACTACAGCTAACTCGACGAGGTTATAACACACACGTGACCAACGACGACCAACTATTGACAACTCACATTTTAATGCCACAGCAGGTTTTTGCTTAATGTAGCACAGCGTTGCATACCCTGCACCAAAAAACCAGCACTAAGCTCAGCATATTAGTTCAGTAATTAATCTTAGTTTAGACTAGTTGTAATGAGTTAAAATCAGACTAAAACACGGCTTGAATAACTCTAAAATGGTAAGAAGAAATTACCAATTTATCTAGTTCATTAGTAATATGAAAATTGACTATTTCAACCAATAGCAAATTGTTCAAGTCGCTGCCTGAGCAAACCCATTTCGTAAATATTAATTACCAGGGAATTTGACAACTTATAGCCAGGTATCGACTATATAATGGAACGCACTCGACTGTGTGCTGTGCTGTGCTGCTGATGATTATTTTCAGAAAATCGTGTGCAATTTTGAATGCAGTGTGTACAGCGTCATTTAGCGTCAATTCCATGTAAATCCGCTGACAATTGACTTTGAATTTACTCGAACGATTTGAAAGCGCTTTTCCGCATAGTTGTAGAATTAGCTATTATTATGCAACTGGAATTAATTTGAAATTCAAATTGAAATTGACATTCAGTGCGCAGTTAAGAAGAATATTATTGTTTTAAATATGTTCCCATAGAATTTCTACTTGTTTGACCCATTTAGGGGGTCAAAGATGTAGCACTTTAATTGACACGACATTTTCATCATGTCTTCTCCAATTAAGAACTAATTAAAGCGGCAACGAATAGGGCCAGTTGATGAATGGCCCAGGCATATGCATAACTCTAAATGAAATGTGTGCAACAAAATCATGAGGAGAATAAATACTCTAAATGTGATATATGTGAGTTAATTGATTGACAATTGTCGCTCAATATCAAAGACTGATCAAAGGGGAGAGACCAGAGGAAGAGGGTCCCCCCATCTTAAGTAATGCAGAAGGACAAGAACCTCAAGGATTTTGACCTCATTTCTTGTCTGCATATCTGTGAGATACAATAGCTGCTGCTGCTGCTGCTGCGATCTTCAAGTTCCCTCACATAACACACACACACACACACACACTGTCCAACTGTCTGAGTGTCTTCCTGCCTGTCTGCTGAAGCAGCCTGGCAACTTCTTTGAACAGACCTGCCCCAGTCAGCGATGTGATAGAAGACGCGCTTGTTGTTTCTCGAATAAACCCCTTCTCCAGACCCTGCCCGCTGTGGATTAATGCTGTTCTCTTGTTGGCATAGTCGTACATAGTTCAGCAACAACAGCTCAGACTGCTCAGTGTTGAGCATCTTTGTTGGGATCTGAAGTTTCCGACTTTGAACTGTTTGTTGCCAAGCGACTTTTGGGTATACACGATCATTGCCTTTGTCTCCGACATGTTCGTGCCGAGGTAATTTGAAACGCTTTAATGTTTGTTGTCGACTTGGTCTTTTTTTCTGTTTTATATAGTTCTAGGCCATTGCCTTTTCAACTTTTACTTTTGCTGAGTGCGGTTAAAAAGTACATTCAACTATTAAAAAGAATAATGAGCGCATTACCCAAACTTTAAATTTTCCATCATTTTGCTGAAATCACTTTTCAAAATATTCTCTGACTTAATCTTAACAGCTTCAACGCGAAATCTAAACTAACTGCCAAGCATTTACATATTGTCTTCTGTCCCGTCCATCATCCACTTGTAAAATCTTATCTTCTTTGCACTGAGATGCAGATAAGAAATATTCGCCGAATGAAGCTGAGCAGCATCCGAGCAGCTGTTTGCGTAAATACTTCATTTATTTTTGGGTTCACATCATATATACATACATATATATATATATGCAAACATAGATAGGCCTGGGAGATCTGCCTGTCTGTGTGTGACATATATGACAACGCGCTCATGTGACCCCATTCTCTTGTCCCGACTTGTTAGCCAAGCCAAACAAGCCCCTTGGGTCTATATATAGATATATATATATATATCGATGAGACATCAGAGATTGTCGCATGCCATGACTCTTATCTAATTTCCGGCTGCAAATTCCACAACAAATAGACTTCAACTTGGTTATTATAAAGCCTCCACTTGACTTAAATATGAGCTTATCAGTTAAGTGCAATTGCCAAAATATTTTTTTTGTTTTTTGCCAATTATAAAATATAAATAAATACAACTATTAGAGGGTTTTACCGCAGAGCCGCAGATAAGCCTGCAACATGTTTGCTTATCAGCTGCACAAACTGTACAAACTAGAAAACACTGGAAGCCCGAGCAAACAGGTCAGGTTCGATTCCCGATCTGCCTGCAACAAAAACAACCCCTGACAAAAGACTCTACTGTTGCCATGTCTACTCTTGTTCTTCTCACTGATCCTGTGCAATTATCAACATTTGCGCATTTGCCAATTGCCGACGGGAAAAGTACAAAAGTACTTTACCGAGAAGTGTATTTTATATATACATAATTATTGACCCGCATTCCGAGTAAAACAGAATAGCTGTTGACTGTGTTCTATATTCCAACAAGTGGTACGAAGTATGAAGTGTGGCAGGTTTTTTATTTCTATGTATTTCCGCTATCAATATTTGCGTTTCTCTATAGACAAGCCCCCTAAACACAGAAACCTTGCACTAATTATGGCATGTAGAGTAGAATATTCTTAGTTCCTAGTAGTATATAGTATACAGACGATGTATAACTTCAATAAATGTGAACAATCACTCACCAGAAAATTTGTTGGCTGTGGTGAGTCACGCAAAAGTCCGCGTTGTTTTTTGCTAGAAATTTGCACGGTTTTGTTGTATTGTGGTGTTGTTATATTGATGATAACTGCCACTTTTTTGAGATTTAACACGAAACTGTTATATAGTCACACAACGGGCTCGTGCTAATTAACCATAAAGGGCTACATTGGAAATGCACTGGAAGTTTTTAGCTCGGCTTTAGTTTGACGCTCTTTTAATATTATATTTGATATGTATTTAAAGAAAGTGTGTAGAGATTTGTATATATATATATATGTATATATGTGTTGTAATGCGTTGGGGAACTGTTTCAACAGTTGCTATGCGATAAAATTTTTAATTATATGTTGTGTGCCGCTTTATTTATGAGTATGCATTTGTAGAATACTTGGACGTGGCGTTTCTCTTTATTCTATTTGATTTTATTTTATTGCAGTTGATTTGTTTTTGTTTTGTAGTTTTACACTGGCGCTTTTATGTCTGTTACATATATGTATATTTAGCTGCACATTGAAGTGAAATTGAAAGACAACAACGACAATAAAAACGTTTTACGAATCACGACAAAAAATACACTCTATTCGATTTATCGCCTTGCGACGTACGTTTAACGATCAGCGTCAACGAATTTGAACTGAGTGCGAAACTCGTCCGTCGAAACTCCAAGTCCAACCAAAATGTTGGTCATCCAACCAGCTCTCGCTGAGAAGCGAGCGAGAGAGCACCGATATGTCACTCAACAACATTCGCCTGCAGGGTTGGAGATCATCTGCAGAGGGTGTCTGCTGTAAATAAAGTGAGGAAAAGTATCATAATTCAATGATACGAAATAAGGGCATATAATTTCACTATTTATTTTCTGCATGAGAAAAGACAACATTTTATAAATATTAATAAAACACATAAATACCAAAACTCAATTATGTTGTACCATGTAAAATATTCTCTTCGTTACGCTCAATACCTGAGAGCCGATCATTCTCACAGCAAACATCGTGTACTCTCTCGGTTTGCACCGTAAATTTGTGACGTCAACGAACAAGCTGATAACACATTTGACGATAGAGCAGAAATAAAGAGAAACAAATTGAGTAAAACTAGAGGCGTTGAGCACTCCACTGGCCTTTGTCGGCAATGAATGCGAGGGAAAAAAAGCCCCCAATCCCCGGCGCGTGCAAATAAAACGTGTTCCGATAAGAGGCCTTTGGAGAATGCGTCAGATAAACACCGTTTTAATATATAACAGGAAAGTACAGTTGTTATCACAATGCACTGGTACAGGTACAAACTATAGTAAGCTACCTGCATTGCGAAATAAGTACTAAGAACTGTGTTACTCATAGGTAAATAGCAAGAAAGTACAATAACAGTTAATGAGTATTAATCATAATCTCTTCTGATATAATAATACACTCTGATTGCCACTTGTTGAACTGAAGTCTAACTAATTATGACAGATATTCACAACATTTAATTTTTGCACATTTAAGTAATGTTCGTTTGAAAACCATTTCTTACACAGCTTGTGTTGTAGCTTAGACACTCGGCGCTCAATTGGTTCCATAGTGTAGCGGTTATCACGTCTGCTTTACACGCAGAAGGTCTCCGGTTCGATCCCGGATGGAACCATGTGGATTACTTTTTGTCAAATATATTTTACAAAATTAATTTGTTATATGGCTAATATATTTTGAATGTTTATGACATTTTGAATAATGTGATTCGCTAAGTTTCATAATGGAGTTAAATATTGTGAAACAATATGGCAAACGCTTGAATATATCATAAATTATGAAACCATGTCAAATATATTTTAAAATTAATATGTAGTAAGCCAATGTATTATTAAACACTCTTTCGCAACTAAGTCACAAATTATTTTTAAGTTAGTATGACAAACGCATGAATACAACACAAATTATGCGTGCAGTGAGTTACTTAACTATAGTTTTATATAGACTATCAAATTTCTTATCTACATTAATATTTGCACAAAGTTATTTAAAAACGTGCGCAATTCAAAAAATAAATGATTAACTCTGGTTCCATCCGGGATCGAACCGGAGACCTTCTGCGTGTAAAGCAGACGTGATAACCGCTACACTATGGAACCCGCTGCGGAAATGCCAGCTTAATTTCAGTTTTCTTACTCAGTTCAAAATTGGGGACAATTACAGCATACTTTGAGGCGCTACAAATGAAACCCTTTCTACCAGGCAGAAAAACAAACACAAAACACTTTTGAGTATTTAATTGTTTATTTTAAAAAGCCAAAAGCACGTATTTAATCTTATGCAACTAGGCTTAGTGAGACTCCAATAAATTAGAAATGTAAATTAATAATACGAATAAAAGCTAAATATTGCACCAGTGTTCAACCTAAAAATAAATTAACAACAAATAAAATTAGTCATAGAAGAGCATAGAAATAGTGTAAAAACTAAATAAACCCAAGAAAAACTGATCAAGATTGGAGGCTTCAATATCGTCGCGCCGTTGTCGGCCGTGGAACGCCCGAGGTGCGTGGACGTGAGGATTTGGTGCGCAACGGATTGGAGACGCCATCGGTGTTATAGCTCAAATAGACATGCGATAGATCCACGAAGTCTGGCTCCTTGCCGCCACTCTTGTGCTCGATGTGCTTTCGCATGTTGTTGCCAGTGTAGGCGACACATTTCAGCTGCCACTCGCCGATGTCCTCGTTCCAGTGGGTATACTGATTGATCATCGACTGGTACTCCTTGGGCACGTACGAGTTGAGCACCAGTTCGCACAGGGCCAGCTCTCGGGACAGGCTGCGTATGTTCTCGTAGATGCCCTCCTTTTCACGCTGATGCTCCTGCTGCTGATCGGCCAGCTCCGACTTGACGCCCATCAGCATCTGCATGACACGATGGATCTTCTTGGTGATGCCAGTGCTGGCATCTTGCAGAGTCGAGTAGCGTTCCTCGATATCGATGCGTTCGGTGGCCTTTTGCTGGAGCGTTTGACGCAGTGCCTCCTCGCATTTCTCGCGCTCCTCCAGCTCGGCAATCGATTGTTCCAGTAGCTTCTCTTGCGTTTGCGCCTTCTCCAGCAGATTTTCGCCGCCAACGAGGATTTTGCCCTCGAGTGAGACGAGTTTGTTGCGCAACTGTTCCTGCTCCGTCTTGGCATGCTCAATCTCGCGCAGATGCTCGCTCTTGCGCATGGCCAACTCCTCCTTCTCCTCGTCGGTTTTCTCGTGCTTCTTGCGTCCCTTTTTGCCACTGGGACTGACTGCAGCTGGTGCTGTGGACGATTCCAGCTCAACTTCCAAAGGCGCCTCCAACTCATCGTCACAGGTATCGTCGCCCTCAGCATCCTCCTCGTCGTCGTCCTCCGGCTGCTGCTCATCCTCAAAGCTGCCCTCCTCCAGCTGCTTGCGCAGACGTGCAATCTCCTCCTGGAAATGACGCAGCAGTGCATCCTTCGGCTCCTCATTGATGTGCATGCGATTCTGGATGTTCTTGGCGCGACTCGCATAGCGCAGCGTGGAGATTGTCTCCATATAATTGCAATCTGCTGGACTAATGGTGGCACACATGACCGTCTTCGAGTTGCCACCCAACGAATCCTGCAGCAAACGGGTCAGCTTCGAGTTGCGATAGGGGATGTGAGTGCTCTTCCCATCCACGAGAGCGCTAATCACATTGCCCAGCACCGACAGCGACAGATTAATTTTGGTGGCCTCCTTGAGACGCTGTCCGGTCGCCTGCGTTTTGGACTGCCTCTCCGATCCCGCCAGATCCACCAGCTGCAGTTTGCCCATGCGGACATGTTGCATATCACCTTCGGCCAGTTCGCTGCTCTCCACCGTGATCGAGAAGATGGCATGCGAGCGAGAGGATTCCTGATTCATTTTCGTGGCGCCCACAGCACGATTCTTGTTGCCCAGTCGCATAATGTTCTCCAGATCATCCGCATTGTGCACCACATAGCCACTCAAATCCTTGACAAAGACACCAATGTCGGGGCGTTCCTTCACCTCCAGACTCTTGCTCACATCCTTGCCGAGCAGATCGCGCACCTCTTCATTGTATATCTCCATGTAGCTGACACGCACCAGAAACTTTTGGTTCTCTCGCGCCTTGGCAATGTGCCCGAAAATATGCGCAAAGGCATTCGGAATGATGCCCTTGGTCTGTGGAGAATCCGGATTCCCAGACATGGTGTATGTCTTGCCTGTACCCGTCTGACCATAAGCCAATATGGTGCCATTGTACCCCTCGAGCACCTTGTCGACAATTGGACGCGCTGTGTCCACATATAAATCCATTTGATTGGAGACGCCATCGAAAACATTATCGAAATAATAAGTTTTGGGCGGCTCATTGGCTGTGGCATTCGGTTTCATCACTGTGATGGCACGATTGATTTTATCCACCTGAATGGCGCCCAGGGCTCCGCTGGACAGCTCCATTTTATCCATTGGCCTGGATCGAACCACAACGCGAACATTTTCGATTTCGTCATCGAGCTGCTGCGACGATGACGCCGTTGTCTGCTCCTGCGGCATCTCTCTCTCTCTCTCTATCTCAATTGGGTCGCACGAAATGTCTACTTTTTAAGAGAATTTAATGATTAACGTTTTTCTTTGCATTTGTTTATCCGCCCGTTGCTATGATTCGTTTGCCAATAATAACTATTGCAAAATTATGTGTGGGCGTCAAAAACTGTTGTGTCGAATACATAATGTTAGGTGAGGAGCAAATGCTGTTATGTTAAGTACAAAGTAAGTCATGTTAAGTGTGGAGCAAAGATGTTAAGTGCGTGGGTGGCTTGCGCGGAGCACAACTGTTAGCTGAGGAGCGCGTTTGCAACGATAATTGGAGAAGAAGCGAGTAAACATCTGCCACAGCGAGAAGCGAGAGCGACCTACTGCCAGTGGAATAGATAGATTCGCGCTGCCCTTTAAGTTTCTTTACACGACCCGACGCAGCAAAATTGTACTCCGGCCAGCAGCATGGCAGCGACATTGCGAAGATTCAATGGCTTCAGATTGCTAAAATCAACGCCAGCACTGAGTCTGCAACAGGTAACACATCCGCCGTCGCCCTCTCTTCTCTCTCACATAAATTTTTCAAAAGCCACCGAAAACTCAAAAGCGTTTCTAAATCATTACAACATTAAATTTCGCACAAAAGGGTCATGTTTTAAGTGAAGTTACGCCTGAGGCAACAAAAACCACGTAAAATATGTGTGATGAACAATTGATTAAAGTACAATTAGAAATTACACCCCGACCCACAAAATTATGTAACTCCATGCAAAAAAAATCCTACGTGCAGTTTGCGCAGCATTGCAAAAAAAACCCCCACTAAATTGTATCCTTTAATTGCAGGCCAAGAACCTGTCGACGGCTTCGAGCTGGGCAAATGGCAACAAAAAGGTAAGTCACCAAAACGTACACCGAGCATTTCATAATAGCCGAACGGACCTAACCTCAAAAATGCGTTTACTTTATTTTTTTCGCTTCTCTGCTCGCCGTTTGCGTGTCGCGTGAACAGCTGATCGGTGCAGTTGGTGCCGTCACCGGTGGCGTTGGTACTCTGCTCTTTGCCTTGGAGCAATCGGTGCAGGCCTCTGGCACCGAAGTGCATCCACCCGCGCAGCCCTGGACCCACAAGGGTCTCTTCTCCTCGCTGGATCATCAGAGGTAAATAGCAAAAATGAAATCCCTATTTTTCATGCATATAAATTGATGATAATCATTTGCAGCATTCGTCGTGGCTACGAGGTGTACAAGCAGGTGTGCTCCGCCTGCCACTCCTTGCAATACATTGCTTACCGCAATCTGATTGGTGTCAGCCACACCGAAGCCGAAGCCAAGGCCGAAGCCGAGCAGATTATGGTAAGCATATAAATGAATTGAAGTTGTTTCTTTTTTAAACAATTCTTGGTTTAGGTGAAAGATGGTCCCGATGATACTGGCAACTTCTTTGACCGTCCCGGCAAGCTGTCGGATTACTTCCCATCGCCGTATCCCAATGAGGAAGCGGCCCGTGCTGCCAATAACGGTGCCTATCCACCCGATTTGAGTTACATCTCGTCGGCTCGTCACGGTGGCGAGGATTACATCTTTGCGCTGCTAACAGGCTACCATGATGCGCCAGCTGGTGTTGTGCTACGCGAGGGCCAGTACTTTAATCCGTACTTTGCAGGCGGTGCCATTTCCATGGCCCAAGTGTTGTACAACGAGGTGGGGCAAAAAGAACTACAAACAAATGTTGAACTCAACTGATGTGTTTCCATTACTTTTATTGATTTCTTTTAGGTGATTGAGTATGAGGATGGCACACCGCCAACACAGAGTCAATTGGCTAAGGATGTGGCCACTTTCCTCAAGTGGACCTCGGAGCCGGAGCACGATGATCGGAAACGGCTGCTGATCAAAGTAATTGGCATTCTCGGCTTCCTGACTGCCATCTCGTATTACATTAAACGACACAAGTGGTCGGCACTCAAGTCCCGAAAGATCGTCTTTGTGCCCAAGGAGAAGTAGATAATGTTTGAATTTGATTTTGACGTGAAGAAATGCAGTGTTAACGCGACTTTACCCACTAAATAAACAAATAAATCAATTTTAAGCATAAAACCCAAACAAACAAACAACCAACAATGTTCGTTCAACACACAAAATTCAATTGAGCAAAAAAAAAAAACGAGTCAAGCTACAGAAACAACAGCTTTATAACAATAAACAAGCCAGAATAGAGAAAGAGCAAACCAAAATGCCTAGTTTAAAAGGATCGATGCACGAGGATCAGGACAGGAATGGACAAAACACAACTCACAACTAAGATTGACAAAACGGGGAGTTAAAACTAAAGCAGAGCCTAGAAAAAATGAATCATGGATACTATATGACATGCACCTTGTGTATAAATCTATTAATTCAAATTATGTATTTAAATAAACAATTGAAAAGAAAAATAAACCCGAAAGCCGATTTTGTTTAGTCTGCAAACTAGAACTTAAATCTGATAGATGATTAAATGATGTTAAGGATAGCTAGCAACTATCTCAATTCTTGGAAATAAACATCAAATTGAAAATAACATCAAATCAAAGGCTTTCCTATTTTTAATCCCAATAAACAACGATCTGCAAAAATTCAGCTTTTTGCATTAAACATTAAATCATTCATTCAGTCGTTGGTGGATCGGTCAACATTGGTTCAAATTCAAATTCAGCTTCAGATTTATATATTAATTATAAATATTCATTTGGGTTTTATATCGAGAGTTCAAGTTTAAACCTTTTACGACTGATGCGTACACAAAACGCGTTTTGGCTTTTCTTTTTATTGGATTATTAATTGTTTTATTTAGAAGCTTAAATTAAAATATTATTTTAATCATTTTTTTTTTGTTTTGTTTTCATCGTTCTGCCCGTTCGACTTCTTCATCAGTTTAGTGTGTGTGTGTGTGTGTAAGAGTGTGTGTATTTTTCGTGTATAATTGTTGTTTATATTTACCGCAATTGGTTTTTTCAATGATTATAAATCGAGTCTCACGTCGCATTAGAAGAAGGAAGGAAAACTAATTAAATTGTTACAATTGCCTCGGTTCGGTTCCTTTTTTGTTTGCTTTTCTTTTTTTTGCTTTTTTTGTTTTTACTACAAAAATTTCACTTAAATTTGTATATATATATATATATATAATTAATAATTTTCTCTTAGTTATGCAAAAACGATAATTACGACTTTGTCTGCGACGCTGCAATTAAAAACAGAACTCGCTGAACATTTTTTTCATATCTCAATCAATTTTTACTTTACGAATTTCCTTTTCTCGGTTTTTTGCTTGTAAATTGCGTGAGTAAAATTATAAATGTAAATTTCCCTTTTTTTTAAATGTAGGCTTTAGGCTTTTTTTAATGCTTTTTTTTGTTTCTTGCAGTTTTCAGTTTTGTTTTATTTCTTAGTTAAGAAAGTGTGATAACCAAACATGATGACAATTTCGTACGACGACGCTCGATGATGGAAGGGACGAGAGACGACCATTGTTTGTTTCTTGTAGTGACGTTTTACTGTGGCTGTTCTTCTTCTTCTACTTCATCTTCTTGCTGTTGCAGTTGTTGTTGTTACACTTATAGTATATATTTTGCTTTAGTTGTTGCTTGCTTTCTTGCTTGCTGGCCAACGCGCGGAGAGCACACACACACTTTAATTCAACAAGAACAACAACAACAACAACAAAGCAGCTCAGCTCCTCTCTTCTCCAACTATTCTCTCTCAGACATCAGACACACAACTCTCTCTTCTCTCCTCTTCTGTTTCGCTGGAGAGGATTAGGACGACTTACCGCATAGCACTCACAGCTGAGTGTTGTAGGTTGTTGAAGTTGTGTGTTGCTGCTGTTGCTGCTGCCTGCAGTTGTTGTTATTGTTGCTGTAGGTTGTTGTTGTTGCTTGAATTGTTGTTGTTGTTATTGTTGTTGTTGCCGACTAAAAACAGCTACCTTCTGGCGGTTGTGCCAATTTCAGGTTCTCTTTCATGGTCATAATTCTACGTATTTCCTGAAGCATCGTTTTAATGGTATATTCACGACTCCATCTGGCCAACATCGGCACTGATCTATGATCAACCTAAATAAAATCATAATAATTAGACTAATACATATAGATACTTAGATAGATAGATTACTTACCACGCCATTATTCTGATTAATGCAATTAATATTAACTTTTGTTAAAAATCTGAGCGTTGGTGGCTCATCCGGATAACGTTCGCCGCACTCAATCTTTAGTGAATACATTCGATTCTCGAATGGTGTCTGGAAAACAAAAAGAGGAAAAGTGCAGACCAAGTCATGCGGCAAATAATGAATAATATGAATTGTGAATTGCAAATTGGCAAATTTAATGAGCTGTCCATTATACAAATATGCGCATAAATGCGAGTCTCTATTGTCTGTTTATTGCAATAATCTCCCTCCTCCCTGACCCGCCTCCTCTCTATATGTGTCCCTCAAGCTGAGTGTGTTTGCAGCTTGTCTGCTGTGACTCACTGCAGCTAGTTGTGGTGTGAATGCACAAAATGATTCAAGCCACAACAAAATCTATTACCAGCTTATTGAAATACTTTTGTACAAAATTGTGCATTTTTGTTTTCACGTCAGATTCTTTTTAGAACAGCTGTTGTGCTTATCTCCCGATTTGCTATCAGCATTTCTAATTGGAATGTGCTTGCAATCCATGTTATATAACCCAATTTGAAGGCAACAACAGCAGATCTCGGCTTTATCTACCAATTTTGTTAACGATTTTTCGATTAAAAACATTACTTTATTTTTAAAGTGGATTGGTAGTCCAGCAAAGGTAATATACAAAACTATTTTATATCTTTTTAAATTTAAATTTAACTGTTTAGCGTATTTAACCTCACTGAGAATAATCAATCAATCTGTGTTCTTTGACAGATCTAACATAAAAACCCATTTATGTATTGTTATCAGCTTGAAAATGCACACACTTTAAAAGAGTTAAAGTGATATATCAAATAATTCTTCGTTTTGAAAATTCTACGTAGAAAACATCATTAATTATTTCGTATATGGATTGTCTTCAGATTGGTTGCTAGTGCCTTATTCAGTCAATCTATTATTAAATTTATTCCAAGTAATGCATAAAACACAACTGCTGCTACTAGTTTTGGGTTCTGTTGAATTTACGCAATCGCACATAGATAAAATATTTATATGTCCACACAGTCTGATAAGGCTTTTTGCAGTCCATTCACAATTGAAGGGAGAATGATATGATGAAAGAGAGAGAGGGGATGGACAACTTACTCTTGGGGGGCCAATGATCATGCCAATCCAGTAGGTAAGTGTCATATCATCATCGTTTTCCAGTCCCCACGAAATAGTGCCATCTCCAACACCCTTCTGCCCCTGATCCAGCTCCTCCAATAAGCGGAAATTTCGTGGCACCACTGAAATTAAAAGGAAAAAATACATATATATATTATATATAAATGTATGTTTATGTATAATAAATATAGTTATAAATACAAGCCAACAAAAGGCTGTAATTAAGACATCGAGCGTGTTTTACGTAGGAAATCATGTGTTTGTTGTTCTTGTTGCTGTTGTTATTGTTTTTCGTGTGTCTTGCGTTGGTTTTGCTTTGCACGCAGTTTCGTAGAATCCGACAGAAGAGAACAATTTTTAATACGAATGCCGGATGGCAAAAGGCAAAGGCAAAGGGTGTGGTGTTGAGTTAGGTTAGTTGGCTTGGTTTGATTTGGTTGACTTTTGCTTGGTTGCCTGGTTAGCTTGCCCCCCTCCCTTCCTCTACACAAACACACACACCCGACATAATTTGTATAGATATGCGCAAAATGAATTTGCAGCGACAAACTAATTTAATTAGAAATTAAAACAGCACTTTGCAAAAGGCAAGCACAGCATAAAAAAGCAAACGAAAAAAAAACACACACGCAAGCTAAAAGGGACACAGGGGGGTGTATGGATGTGTGTGTGAGAGAGAGGTGCGGGGTGTTTTGCAGGCCCCACCGAAATTGTCAAGTCACGAAGAAAAATTGTGACTGCGACTGTAGCAGCAGCAGCAGCAACAGCGGCAGCAACTACTTAATTTTCCAATATGAAATGCAGAAATGCTCGCGTTTTATCGGCCGTTTCTTTTTAGCTTTTATTTGCCCATTTGCTTTCTTTTCCATTTTCACACGGCGCTCTGCAGCGGAGCAGTGGCAGCGCTGCGGCAGCGGCCCGTCATCGTTCAATAAAAAAAAAAGGAAAAAAATCGTAGTTTTGCGCACACGTTTTGCGGCCGAACTTTTGCACAATTCGTTGGTTAAATGATTGGGCCACAGCTGGGCGTGCTTGCGTGCACGTGCTATACGATCAAATTGCTTGCCAAATTGTTAATTTTACAAATAAAATTCTTACCAACGCCGGTACTAGATGTATGCGCCATTGTGGTTTATCCTAGAGTGTGTGTGTGTTTTGGCTTATTTTAGCGCATTCTTCGCGACCGTACGCACCACACTGCGGCCATAATTGGTACATTTCGTTGCGGCGACGCTGCCAGACAGTTGTAAATATCGATATATCGATGCGATAACACAAACACACCTATATAATTGGACAACTAATTTGCAACGCGTCAGCTTTTTGAAACGAATTAATTTTGCGTGTTTTTCAAGCTAACCCATTAGCCTGTTGCATGCAGCATATCAGCCACAATGGAAACGCTGTACCATCAAACGAATAACACGCTTAAGGAGATTGAGCAATGCTTTCAGCGACTGGGACAAATACTTCCGCAGGAAGCGGCTGACGTGGAGAACTCAATCCAAATGAAAATAACACAGGCCAATTCGTGAGTCAACCAAACCCAACCCCATCCACAAAATGCTCAAGCTTAAGATTTCCCATCTTTCCCATAGCAATTGCGATCGACTCGATGTGCTGTTGTTCAAGGTGCCACCATCGCAAAGACAAAGCTCCAAGTTGCGCATAGATCAGTTGAAATATGATTTGAGGCATTTGCAGACATCGTTGCAACACGCGCGAGATCGTCGCCAGCGGCGGCAGCAGGAGCTGAATGAACGGGAACAGCTGCTCAATCATCGTTTTGCGGCAAATAGTGCGCAGGACACGTGTCTGCAGCTGGACTACGAGCTGCAGCATCACACACAGATGCACAACTCGCATCGTGGCGTGGATGAGATGATTGCCTCCGGCAGCGGCATACTCGAGAGTCTCATTTCGCAACGGATGACGCTGAGTGGGGCGCATCGACGCATTCAGGCAATTGGGAGTACGCTTGGACTGTCGAATCACACGATGAAGTTGATAGAGCGGCGACTGGTGGAGGATCGACGCATCTTTGTGGCTGGCATGGTTTTCACCTTGCTGATAATCGCACTGATTATCTACTATTTTATAGTGCTTTAGTGAATATATAGAGAATATCTTTCTAATATAGTTTAAATTAAATGTACTCGTATTTTAATCAAGCGAAAGTTTCGCACATTGTTTTTTTTTAGTCTCGATTCTATTCGTCGCTCTCCAGGGAAATGTTGCTCCCGAAGCGCTGGTAGAGATGTGCCTTCAGCTCATCCATTTCGGCTTTAATCACTTTTGCTTTGGCCTCAATGCTGGCGATCGCCTTCAGCGTCTGATCCTTGGTCTCTGCGAGCAGCTCTTGAGTTTTGCCAAGCTTGTGTGAGAGGAACACTTCGCCAATTAGAAACGGAATATCTTCGTCCTCATCGAAAAGTTCAATTTCTTCCAGTGCCTCCTCGACGCACTTGAGATCATTCTTTTTCATCTCGAGCTCCATCTTGAAGTCATCCATGCGTGCATTGTGCTTGGCAAAGCGATTGATGCGCTGCTGATCCTCAAAAGAAATATGCACATCATCGTGCTGGAAGAAGGGAAACCAATAAGGGGAATCAAAGTGATTCCAAATTGGGATTAGTCAGAGGCCAGATGAGAAGTGAGGTTACTTCGACGTGCGGCGCATTTGCTCACATGCACTTACATTCTGAAACACTTTGTTTGTGTTGCTTGCAACTTTGGCGGCCATTGCTGTTGAGTTTTATGTGATTTCCTTTAATAAATTAATGTTTTTCTCAACAGTTGGCGTTTGCAACTATTTTGTTGTTCGGCTCGAAAAAGAGTATGCTGTGGTGGTCAGCCGATAACAACCGACATCGAAATGCTAACTTTTAACGGCATGTTAACAGCTGTTAGCTAGCAGTGTCAAATAAGAAGCAGCTGAGGCGAACAGACGTCATTCGCAGTTTTTTCTAAATTAAGGCACGAATTTTGACTTCTCAAGGTAAATATTAAGCGAAATTAATGCCAAAAATATGTTGCCAAGTGCTGGGCACTATAAATATGCCTAATTATTGGCTGGTGCAAAGGTGCAATCGCAGCAGTTGCATACAAGAGTTCGCAGTGCAACAAATTACATAACCTCTTTGAGGCTAAGTGCAAAATGTTTATAATAACTATTTGTGTCTTTATCCAAATACTCGTTGGCTTCATATGCGCCTTGTGATTATAATCGGTTATCCCTTTTAAAATATTCCTCTTCTCACAGCTTAAGAGATGCGTCTAACCTCGATCCTGAACGGTGCCCATTTCGGCAATTTGGCCAAGGTGCATGGAATTATCACCTATAAGCTTTCCCCGTTCGAGCAGCGCGCCTTCGCCGGCGCCATCAGCAATGGGCTGCCCAACATAGTGCGTCGCCTGCGCTCCAACATCTTTCGTGTAACACCACGTAAGTTAAAGAGGGATTTTTATCTAAATTTGCCATTATTTAATCATTTTTGTGGTTGCAGCATTTATCATTGGTTATTTGATTTACGATATGACCGAACGCAAGCACACAGCCTTGATGCGCAAGAATCCCGCTGATTATGTCAATGACGAATAGGCGAACGAACTGTCTCCTAGCAAATTAATCATGTTAAGCTTATTAATAAAACTATAAACCCACAGTTCAATTGATGGCAATTGTGTGTGCTTATGATTTTTTTGGGCATAGAATGTAGAACATGGTGGAGCATATTTCTATCATTTTAAACGAGCTGCTGAACAGCTGTTACGAGCGTTGCCATCTCTCGTATTTCTCAAAAAACAATTTACCAACACTGAACCGTATATTGTGCTCTAGCTCCACTCTCGTATCTTTACACAGCTGTTCGTGACCAAAAAACAAACTTGCATTTTATATACACAAAAAAAGTGAGAATTGTAAAACAATTTTCGTACTTAATATTAGTTAGATAAATGGACTGCTGTGGTGGTGAGGTGCGCAGCGAAAGCATCTACAACATGCTGCAGGCCCTCGTCGACTCCAAAGTGATCAACGTGCAGTTGTTTACCATCGCCGTTGGCATTTTCTTTGTGCTGCTGCTGCTGAAGAACAATTTTCGCAGCTTTTCGGGCACATAAGAAGAGTTGGCGCTCATTTGTAGTGTTAAATTAATATACAAATGTAAATGTAATGTACGCAAATTTAATTAAGCTTCAATAATAACAATAATACAAAGCAACGAATCACAATTTATTTTCCATTCATTGTTCTTATTCTTAGAGAGAAGTGTGGAGAGTGGAGAGAACGGAGAGTGGAGAATGGAGCAGCTTGGCAGAGTGACGTCATACCAGCCACGCAATAACGGTTCAGGGTCAGATTCCCTACCCAAAATGAAATAAAAATATATATTTACATATAAGGCAAACATATCAAACGCATACTAATTATTTTCGAAGGCTGTCCCATGCACTGGTCGAAAATATGTGAAATTGTCGAATTTCATCATTGAAACTGTGATTCATTGTCTAATTTGAGATAAGATTGTAAATGAAGATTGCCTTTTGAAATGACTTTTACGGTCCCTTTGAACTTTTGGCCTAGTTCTTTGTCTTTTTGCCTTTATAACATTCCCATAAGTTTTGCTGGCGACGCCTAATCAATTTCAATTTGCCACAAATAACTTCAATTGAACATTGCACGCACTTCCTGGTGCATGCCACATTAGAATTCAATAGACGTCCATTCTGAGACTATCAGCCTTTCATAGTACTACTGTCCAACTATATATATATACATATATATAGATATTTATGGGAAATATGCTACGTGCTCTTTACCACAAATTCTGCATTAGGATGCGAATGCGTTGCACAAAGCAAATGCAACGAAAAAAGACACAAAACGTGACAATTTTAGCCACAAAATATGAGATGAAATATTTGTAAAATTTTGTTGTCAACTTATTAAAGATAGAAATATATTTTCAAAAAATTTGTAAACATTCGCTGAAAATTGAAGCTCTGCTCTTATGCAATAAATATATTTAAATTTAAATGAATTGCGTTGTTTGGCTAAAATACCAACCAAAAAAAAGTTGTCAATGAACTTGAGTAGCGTTTTCTAAGAAATCGAAGAATTCGAATTGCTGACTGCAGTTCCGTCAACTCGGTCGTTTAATGAAAATTGCCTTATATAAAATATCAAATCTTTAATCACACATAATACTGTTGACAATCCATGAATTTAAAAGTAAATTGATAAAAGAAAAGAAGGAAATATTTCAGCCTGGGAATCATTTAAGAGTTTTAATCTGGTTTCCGCTTCAGTTTGTGCTTGAGTGCTGAGCCCAGGCATGGAAAGCTTAATAATGATTTCGAGAATTGCTTTCTATCGTCAACACGATCGTCTCTTAACTGAATTTCACTCTCGGATTTGCTATGATCTTTCATTTGGTGTTCAGCGCTCAATGCCTCAACTGAATTCTGGCCCAAATTATTAATTAGTCCCAGGAACGCGGCATGTTGTTCATTGTATCGGGCTATAATCGCGTCCCGTCGTTGCAGTTTGGCCTTTAGTATTGTCACCGTCTTTTCCAATTCATCCACTTGGTGTGCCTTGGCCGTGATGCAGTTCATCTCCTGCCGCACATTTTGCAGCTTCGTTTCCAAGAGTCCGGCACTGGATTTGACATCGCCCATTTGTTTCTTGTATTTCAGCCGCGTCGTTTGTATCTGCTCCTCCAAATAGGCAATGTACAAATCCTGATTGGTTGGATTCGATTTTACTCGCTTTCCCAAATCCAAATGTGACTTTTTATCGCCCAATTTGCGATAGAGTTCGTCGCGATCCAATCGGGTTATGGCCAGCTCCTGGCGCAATAGAATTATCTCCCGTTCCAAACGCGAACACTTGGACATTATATATATCTATATATATATATGTATATCTTGTTATCAATAATAAGAATTTAACTGCAGCTTGCACTTTTCTGCGAAATTTAGTTACTTAGAAAATGGTTTAGAAAACTTGAGAATTTTTTATTTGAAGTGTTTGGCAACAAAAATGTTTTTGATATGAAAAACTATGACAAATGTTATGAAATATTTACAGAGTTTTTGTCAAAGTTTTGAGTAGCTAATTGATGTATTTTTTGCAGTGCAAATGTGACAGTAAGTCAATAAAATTAAACGACTTTAAGCCGCACAATGCCATTTATGCGAACGGCTACCTAATTTTGGTGTGTGTAAACTTAAATGAATAAAATGGTCAATTTCGTGAGCCAAGGGAAATGACTGCAATTTGATTGGGTTTTTTTCTCAGTCTTTTTTTGTTTTGTTTTTTAATATCGCCAAATTTGCATCAGACAATCTGGTATTTTGGGCGTACTTCGGCTTAAACGCGTTACGCCCACAGCTCCGATGGTGGCCCAGAGCGAGGACTAAAAAACCCAAACAGCTACCAATGGCAAATGCAAACACAGATACACACACACACACACACACACACACACACACACATACACCTGTGCACTTTTTGTGTAGTTTGGTATTTCGTTTGTAAGCATAATTTGTATTTTTTTCGCCCCGAGATGCCGCACATTTGATAAGGGTTATCGATACGCAGCACCGAACCCAGTTGCTTATTATGGATTGATTGTTATTATTCTTATTTTGATTTTTATGGGTTCTTTTTTGTAAGTTATGCGTAAGTTGTAATTCATTTGGGATGCTGCCCAATGTGGCAGATATGTATAGGAATTCCATAAGATTTGTGGCATGTGAAAAGTTAACCATTTATTTTGCAACAAGTGATTTATAATTGAAATTAAACTGGTCTCAGGCATAACATTTGTTAACTTCTGTATAAAATATAAATGTGTATATTTTGTTATTTATATTCCACTTTAGTTTTTATATATATAAATATATATCCCGATATATAAATCGATTTGAAGTTGCTCTCAGGCGTAACATTTGTGGAGCGGACTTCTCTTTAAAATACAAAAAGGTATTTTTTAAAAATGTATCCCACATTATTTGATAAATAAATATGTATTCCACAGCTGCTCTAGCCCAGTAAAAATGTGTATTTTTTATATATAGCCCACATAAGGCTCCACATTTGCCCATAGACAGCGTCATAAATCTTTTTCATATTTTGAGTCGAGCCCTTTTGCAGCTCAATGTCAAGGTCTTTTTGAGCGTTGTATATTTATTTTTATATGTGTATCTTTCTTTTTTTTTTGCTGATTTCTCAATTTGACAAAGTTGTTCCCACTTGAACAATTTGCATAAATTCAAGGTCAGCCGCACAATCAAAAGATCCAGACATGATTTGTGTTGTTTTCTGTGCGTGTGTGTCTGGCTATTTTCGGCAACGTTTGTGTGGCAAGTTTGTCTTGGCTGTGCGTCAAGCAAACTATGCCAAAAAATATAGGATAAACATGTGCGATATAAAACTGGAACAAAGGAATGCAAAATTAATTGGCGAAATATTTAAAGAACTTCAAGAACCCGAAGTCGGCTTGTAGCTGTGTCTATAAAGTTGCACACACACACATATATAAATCGATGTATATATGTATGTATATACCAAACACTGATATCAAATGCCAAATCCAAACAATAATAAACCCGCAAAAAAAGCTGCTTGCCCTGAAAGTAAAAACTTGACTAACATCTAAGCAACCCAAAGAAGAGAAAAGGAAACAAAACAACTACAACAACAACAACAATATAGAAATGGATAAGGACAGCGGCAGACAAAAAGCAGACAAGCCGAACATGGGTCGGGAAGGGACGGTGGGGGAGGGAGGGGGGCATGGGTAGTTGAGGAGGCTGCGTCTGGGCTTTTTGGTCGCTTTTTGGTCTGCTGTCGACGACGAGGAAGACGTAGACGTAATCTAGACGCCTTTTGTTTGCACAGCACAAGCAAAACATAAACACACAAAAGCATAACAAACAAAAACAAAAACCAAAACAAAAAGGGCAGCACCACAAAGATCGTAGTAGAAGGAAGGGAGACGGGGTTGATCAAGTGCACTACTTAGTAGCAAACTAGCCAAATAAAGCAAGCGACACTTGAAGTAGTTCTTTTTGTTTTTTTTTTTGGGCAGCATCAATCATCAATTTTGCTTTGATTGCACTTAATTTAAATGGCAGACTTAGGTAACCAAGAAGACTTTGGTCCACTTATTAAAAGCGAGTGAAAAGGTGAATAATAGAGTTGCGTTTAACTGTGCAACAGACAGGGGTAGCATCTGCGCCCATATAAAGTATATATTTATATAAATACGAGAATATATATCTTTCCATTCGGGCTTGTATACCATGACAAGATATCGAGCCTCGTCCAATCTCACTTACTCATAATACCATACGCCGACCAAGCTCAGTTCTATTTGATCGATAACCTGCAAAGCTCACTCCAATATCGATAAAAATCGATAATCGATTGCAATAAAAGCCACATGATATGACTTTATAATCGAGTTTGTATATATTTTGGCATAATATCGATATTGGCTTGAGTATAGATGTAAATTAATATATAAGTCGTAAGACTTATGCTTACCACAAGCATTGGCTACAGGGTATCTGCCAGTCGTACGCTCTCGACTAGAGCATTCTAACTTGTTTTTACGTGCTTTTATTTGTCGACTGCATTTGATTTAATTCGATTGCTAGACGTTCAGACTTTACGCAACATATGTCGCCAATTTTGGACCACTTAGGCAGTCAAGCAAAATTATATACATATATTTGTTGTTTTTGTTTTCTTTTTTTTAACAAACCGAATGCAATTTTGAGATTTAATTAGCGTGGCAGACAAAAATTGATTGGACTTTATTAAATGCTCGAACAGGTTCTGTTGAAATTCTGATAATAACTTTGCTAGAATTATTAGCAGGCAACTGTTCAAGATACAAAAAAAAAACACATACAAATGTATGCAAATCAATCGACATCTAATTGACTTTAAAAGTTGTTTCAAGCACACACATATGAAATATGCAACAGTTCTTAGAATGCTCCAGGCTCCTCGAATGGCACACAAATACGCTACCCCCTGCCCACCCTCACACCCCGTCCACCCCCCTCTTACACTCCTAGCATTAGGTTTGCAAATTTTGCACTTTTGGCGACATTTTTTTGTCATTCGAGAAATTGGGCAACCGACATCCGCTCCGCATTTGCAAATGCCAAAACTCTCTGCATATGTAAAAACCAATCCAATTATTTTTCATTTGTATACTCGAACGCACATGACGACGAATTACTCAAAACACACCCACACACACACACACACACACACACACACACACTCAAAATACAAAAAAAATCACATAACTCAAAAAAAAAATATAAACTTCAATTTCGGACAGAGGCAGAAGCAAAAGTTTCTTCGTTCGTTTCGGGGAGTTATTAAAAGTGCACAAGGAAATGCATATAAAAGAAACAAACACAAAGTTTGTTATGTTGCGCAGGCGCAGCCCCAAGTAACGCCCTCAAAAAGAGGCGGGGAGTGCAGAGCGGAGGGGTGGAGTGGCATACTACACAAAATGTTATTGACCCGCTGCGTGGATCCGTTAGCGAGCCACAGCCCTGGCCAGGAATTCTTATTAAGATCAATCAGCTAAATGTCGGTTTTATGCTTAATGCTCATGATTCACACGCGCAAAAAGCACCAAAATCGAAAAGAGAACCGACAACAAACAAAAACAACAAACAAAAACAAAAAAAAAAAAACAAGAAAAAATAAAGAAAACAACAAGAAAATATGGGAAGAATGCAGACGACTGCATATCCTTGCTAAAAGTATTTCTTACTTATTCTTAAAGCCTTTATTGCGAGTGTGATATTTAAACAAATGGTTAGATTGTTCTTTGTTTGGTGAGTTCCTTTTGAAAGGTCCTTCAACCAGCTAAGATTATATTTATAATAAGAAAAAAATGTTTTGGTTTAAGAGTTTACTTAGATATTAACAATACAAAAAATGATTCGATTTAAGAGCTTACTCAGATAATAAAAATAAATAATAATATTGTAAATCAGAATTCATTTGAAATGCTCTAATAAACTTTTTAATCGACTACCTTGAATAAAAATTAATATTTATTCTAAATATGAAATCGAAACTATTTTTTAATTTTCTATTCAAGTTTGCAGTTAACCCAATTGAAATACAATTTGAAGCGACTCCTTTAATGCCCTAACACATATCCAAAAGATGCGCAACAAATTTTTTATATTCATTTTTTTTTGGCAATCCTTTTACAAAGTTGTCGGCGAATTTTTATGCTGAGAAATTGAGTTTTGCTTGCTTAATTAGTCATGGCAACGAGCCAACAGGCAACTTAGGATGAGTTGAGTGTACTATATATATGTATGTGCTTACTATATTATGTATGTATGTATATATGTGTAGCATGTGTATTTATAACTTGATGCACAGTTGAAAGCAATTCTATCACAATTGACACACATTGTAGGCGAGCTGATAAGAAGACTGAGCAGCTTCTGTTTCCGAGCTGAGATCTCTCTCTCTCTCTTTCTCTTTGACTCTTTGTCTCTCTCTCTCTCTCTCTCTCTCTCTCTCTCTCTCTCTTCTTATCTATATTTCTCGCTATTTCATTCCAGTGAAACTGAGCTGGATATGGACTCTTTCGGGAGTTGCGCTTCGGATCAATGTTGTATGGAAAACGTGTCGTTTTCAGTTACATATATTCAGAAATAAGGTTAACGTGTACACGCTTCAAATAAACCAAACTTCACAAAGATAAGCCCAGCGATGTTGTCAATACAACAAACATTATATTTTCTTTTTTTTGAGGAATATCTTGGATTATTTGCTTGACGTTTGGTTACAAGCGCTGAAACAGTTACACAAACAAAGCAGATACAAAAAAAAGAAGAAAAACTGACAGATACAGTTGCTGATAGAGAAGGAGTGGGGCAGAGTTGGAGTTGCATGCCCCACCCCGCTCTCGCTATTAGTTGTTGTAGCAATTCCGAATCGAAATCCAATCTAAATAGAGTTTAGACTCATCAATTATATATTATATATTATTACTATCAGCAAATGAGTGCGTCTATATATATTTATGTTGTTTTTTTTCCAATAATTGTTACAAAAGTTCAATGCACACTTCGAGGTGAATGCGTTTTGAAAAAGACAACAACAATAATAACAACAACAACAAGCAATTGCAATCGTCGATCCGCAATCGTGTTTAACTCGTTTATGGCTCTGACATGTCACGTAATTGACTCTGCCTAGTAGTAGCATGAAGTATGTAGCATGTGGCATGTAGTATGTAGTAGCATGCAGTCTCTCAGTTGAAAGCGATTGCGCTTTTGCCAATAAATTAATGATGGCTAAATTGTAACCACTCCTCGGACTTAGCAGTCGTCCAATGTGCCAATGTGCCTTGCATTCAATTCAATTCACTTTGATCATTCATTAATGCATTCAAATATATATACTCCGTCCGTCCATCCATTCAAACCGACTGTCGACTGTCGACTGTCTATCTGCCTTCTGGTCGGCCTTGCGCTCAAAATGTAATTGATATACAAGCTAATAAACTTTTAATATATGTATATATATATATATATATATATATATGCATTCTTTTAGATGAATATAATGTATAATTAATTTAGCCAATTTGCATATTAAAATTCATAAATGCTTAATGTGAGGCAACATCTATTTTCTTTAATCAGAACTTCTATTTGATTATACTAAAAACCTGTAGAAAAAAAATGAAAAATATATTTTTTAATCTTTACAGATTATGTACAAAATAATTACATATATATGTAAATAATTATGGCAATTCAATTTCTTGATTTAGGCTTCAAACGTTTTGTTTTTAAACGCCAAACTTGCATTTTTAACACATTTTTTGCTTGCCGCATTTTTTTGACGCTCTTTTTAGTCAAATTTAAACTAATAATGACATTTGGGAATTTAGATTAATGTGCAGCTTCGAACTTTGTAGCATGGGTTCATCATTCTTAGCTGCAAAGTTTAAGCTCGGTGTGGTATTCATTATTAAAAGCTCATCAGGCTACTAGTTTTGAAAAGGATTTGAAGCAATTAAAGCTGAAATATCTTAATAAACTCGTTTGCCAAAACAAATGGAAATTGTTCAGCATATTCGAGATGACGTCAGCATTAAAAGCAAAAGCTGCACAATGCAAACGGCAAGCTTTCCATTGTGCAAAGCTTACTGTTACAATTAGGACAATCAAAAAGCTGTTGCCTCTGCACAAACAGCTGTGAATAATATTAGCCAAAGGGGAGCAGAGATTGCCTTAGAACTCCCCCGCCCACTAACACTAACAGTGCCGAGAGCTTTAACAGAGCGCGCAACAGCGGCATGCTCGCTGTTAAGCTTTTGACAAACAGACCGAGCGAGTCAAATGCAAAGAGCGTCAAGAGCTCCAACAACTGCGCAGCTGACTCGTCGACGACGACGCCGGCAGCAGCAGCTGTTGTTTGGGGCCCAAGCGTAAAAAGTGCTTTTTTCGAGCATTTCAGTTTGGACTTGCCTTTGACCGCGTGCGGACGGCGACGCCAGCGAGTTGTTGTGTTTGCTTGGCTTGAACTGACTCTCGGTGCATGTGTGAGTGTGTGCGTGCGTGTGTGCGTGTATGCGTGTGTGTGTCTCCTTCCCCTCACTACGTTTTTAGCGCCACTATATGTGCGAGTGTGTGTGTGTGTGTGGGGTACCCGTAGCGGCAGATAGTCAGCGAACAGCGACGTTGACAGCGACGTCAACAGCGCCGTTGACAGCACGACGACAGCGTTAATACTTATGTACACTTGCTGTGTGTTTTTATTTATATGCGGCGCTGTTGCGGCTTCGTCTGCTGTGTTTTGTATATTTTGTGCGTTGTATCTGTTGCTTATATATTTTTCGTTATTTGTTTGTTTGTTTGTGAGTGCGTCGTCGCCGTCAAAACAACAATGTAGGTCGTTCATATTTAGTATATGCAAATAAAACAGACAATGTATTTAAATTCCTACTACCAAATGTTACTACACTTTTGCGCCGCATCTACTACTATTTTGTAACAAATACAAAACATACACACACGCACACGCGCACACAAACAGAGAGGGACAGCAGCGACGCCGACGGCTGCGATAACAGCAACAGTGCCGTCGCCACCCCCTCGAACAGCGGCAGAGAGTGCGCCGGAAAAAAATAAAACAAAATTCACTCTCGCTGCGCTGCTCGATGCGCTGCATGCTCTCTCTTTTTTTTAGGCGCTCGCCAGAGTTTTGGCAGCGTTCTAATTGCGTGCGCGTCGCTGCCGCTGTTAGCGGCGACGTCGCTGTTATCTGTTTTGCTGTTGTTGGCTGTTGGCCGATCGTGTGTATCTTAAAGATACACACCAACAACAACACCAACACAAACACAGCACATAACAGCGGCGGCAGCGCCGCGTTCGTGTGTATCTTCTTGTTGTCTGTTTGTCGTATAAATTGAGCCGCACTTTGCCTGTTCTCGAGTTTTTGCCGCTCAGTCGTCGTCGTTGTAACTGCACGCGCTGCGCTGCGAACGCGTCTCGTTTTCTTCAATTCCCAAAAACAAATCGAAAAAATATTTAAAAAACACTGAAATACGCTAAATAAAAAGTGATCTAAATCATACTTTTGATTCTATTGAATACAAAAATAGGAAAACACGCACCATTTGTTTGTGTATGTGGAAGATACAAGTGCAACACTGATGCGCCTCACAAAACACCAAAAAAAATAAAAGAATCAACACAAAATACAAACACACAAACACAAACACGCACACACACAATATTTTCAAAGCGAAAATTGTTCTATTTTTAAAACGAAATACAAAATCGACGCCGTTCGAGGAGCGCAGAACTGAGAGTTTCTTCATAAATACATAAATATTTGAGCATTCTTTAAAAATTGGTTGTTTTGAAATTTAACCAGAAAAATGCAGTTCGAATTTGCTTTATGAAAAGCGATTCTAAGTGAAACAAGTATATTATATGTAATATTTATATATATATATATTTATATATATATATTTATATCTGTATAATTCAATTTTCAATTGGCTGCGTGCGTGTTTATTTTTTTTCGTACCTCAAAACCACAGCATTTAATTGTTGCCCCCTCCACTATGTGTGCAATTACTAAATAAATAATAATCAACCCAAAAAAATAATTAATTTTGTGTGAATTAAAAAAAACAACAACAACAACAGCGGCAGAGAGAGAGAGCGAGAGATAGCGAGAGAGAGAGAGAGAGAGAGAGAGAGGGAGGCAGCAAAATTACACGCATAAATATATATATATAGATGTATATATTGCGTAGCAAAGTTCTGAATGAAAAATACGAGGCATACGGGCGGACAGTACAACTGGCGATAAATGTAAGTACAGCTGTCAATATATATATACATATATGTATATATATAGACATACATATATATATATACAGATATAATGTAAATATTCCACTTCTAAAGCGTGTAATCGTAAATAAGCGCAGTCGGTTGACTAAGGAACTGAAATAATCTAAAACTGGTTTAGTGGGCAGCACGGCTAAGCATGAATTAAAACTATAAATAAAAGAATCTTGCAAAAGTTATACGGTCTCAAATGTTATATCTATAATTTACAGACGCTTAAGTTCGAGAAAAATCGTAAAGATTTAAGTAGCAAAGCCGTTAAAAAAAAAATGTTAATCAAATTGCTAACTATTTGAATAGTGTTTAAGTAGTCAACTTATCGAAAATATAAATATTTATTTATGTTTGTGTGGCGTGAAGAACTCTTGAGAAGATACAAATGAAAAGTTCTTCTTCTTTGACACTCTGCTGGCAATGGAAACTTTTTAGGCGCCAGAGAAAGTGAAACATGTAATTTTTTTTTTGTTTTTGGTATTGGTATTTTTTTATTTATTTTTTTTTTTTTGATGTGCAACGCAGATGCCGCTGGCCTAAAAACAAATTATACGCCGTATTGAGTGAAATCGTAATGAGTTAAGAAATTTCTTAAATGCGCGACTGTCCCTTTTACATACGCACAGCACAAAATAATGATAAGAGCAATACAAAAACAACACGCACACACACACACACACACACGCACACACACATATACACACACACGCACACACACACAGAATTCGAAAAGCAAACCAAAGCAGATACAGAACATGAAATACATTCCGTTTTCGTTTTCTGTTTTTTTTTTTTTTTTTTTTAGTTTATTTTGCCTCATTTTTTTGTGTAATTACATGCCGGGTGCAGGCAGCTAAAAAAAAACCAGCATGAAAAAGGCAAAATAAATACGCACAGCTAAAGATACAGCTACAGATACTGGGGCAGCAACATGCAGATATATCAACAGCCAAATGCATATATAGCTATATATACTCGATATATATAAAACGCATGCACATTTTACACATTACACACAAAAAACCAGCAAACACAAAACCCCCAAAAAAAAAGAACGGCCCAAAAATGCATAAATAAATGCTTAAGTACAAGCGTTTAAAAAAGAAAATGAACCAAAATCAATAAAGATTTCGTTTAATTAATGTAAATGTTTAAATTGCATCTGTCTCTTATATGCACAAATTGTTTAGGCCATGTTTATCTGTTGCGGGCCAGAGCAGAGTTTCTTACGAGTTTCACTTTTAAGCAATTTACCAACCAAAAAAAAAAAAAACAGAAAAAACAACGTCTTTTTTTTTTTTTGTTTAATAAAAGAAAGCCAGAGATTAAAAGCTTATAAATTGGTTCTTGGCAGCAGCACAAATATGACCCATATTGAGGGCATTATCATTCATTTGCTATACAGATAAAAATTACAATTGATCTGAATGAGTTATGAAGTGGAACATTTTCGAAAAAATGACACAAAAATTGTCATGTGTCAAGAAATGTTTCAGTTGGCTTTCTTTAACACATTCGCAGAGAAAGTAAATGCCTTCAATTGTACATTGTAAATAAGTAAACCAATTGAATTTAATTTTCATATATGTTGCATACAAATTTTGCGCATTATTTTTTATTATAACTTGTCATAGTGAAATTTCAAATATCAATATTCCAGTGCGTTGTGTGCTGTGTGCTTTAAGCTCTAACACATTCCAGTCTAGCATTTGCCTGGAATATTCAATGATGCCTCAGCATTTCCTTTTCATACGAAACTTGAATTTATTTATTACAATTTTGTTTTCTTATTTTGTTTTTGGCTTTTTTTTTTACTATTTTTTTATTTTTTGGCCATAACTAATAGCGTCAAGCGTTCTAAGCCAAACAGCGCAGTTTTTGAAGAGCGAAACAAAACAACGAAAATAGAAATAATAATAATAACAACAACAACAACAACAACAATAACAGTGTATCTAAATTCCACCTGTGATAAAGTCGCAGAAAAGAGCAGCCAAACTGAAGCCAGGCACAGAAATCAAGAATTGAGCAGCAGACAGAACCCGAAATCTAAAAAGAGAAAAACAAAAAAACCAGATTTACTACTAATTTAAATTCTTGGCATACAAAAAAATTCTAAAAAGAAACAAAAACAGCCAAAAAAATAAAACAAAAACAAAAACAAAAAAAGTGAGCAAAGCCAAAAACAACAACAAAAAATTAAAATTAAGTTTGGAAACGCAGCCAAATGGCTTTATTGGCAAAATATTGACTGTCCCGTAGTATGTCTCGCTCTCTCTCTCTCTCTCTCTCTCTATATCTCTCTCACTCTTGTTTTTCTGTTTGTCCATCTCACTCTCTCTAGTAGAGTGCGTGACAAACGCCGTGAATTTCCGCTCAGTTAGCAGGCGCTTCCTTTCTATTTGTCAGCGCTGATAAATGGAAAACAGTACTCGACACTATATACATATATACTAAATACATATACATATGTTCACACATAAATACATATATTTCCTATTTTTCTAAAAACAATTTTCCACATTTACACATTATTTAAAAGAAAAAGTACATAATGCTTAAAGTTAAATAAATACAAAGAAGAACAAAATCTTTTCCGCTTAGTTTTTATGTTACTAAACATTTGCATGTGTTTCTTAATTGGTTTTTTTTTTAATTGGCCAACAGCTTGGCCAAGTTAACTACTCGTTCGGAGCACGTGCAATCGAAACTTTGTCGAAATTATAAAATAAACTAAATTGTGCATGGTATCGTGGTAATATGTTAATTTGTGAATTAAAAAACATAAAATCAAGCACTCAATTTAAAATGCGGCATTAATTATGCATTTATTTAAAAACGTATCAAGAGCCGCGAGCTATGACCAAATTTTATCATCAGTGTTAATCGTATCGTATGAAGCATACATACAAATATACAACTATATATATATATATATGCATATATATATATACATCAACATGTACATATATGTAAATATATTTATAAAACAGATGTATGCGAAAACCTCAATTTAATTTGAAAACTGAAAGTTGGCCTAAAAACATGGTTCCAATTGGTATCTTTTTTTTTTTGTTGGGTTTTGTGTTTATTTGTGAGTTTGTTAGCTTAAGCCATGCACTTGGATTTGGCTTAGATAGCGTTCAAGTTGTTGGGCGTGTAGATTGAGAGAGGTGAAAAACACTTGGGTTAAGCAAAGTAAAGATTCAACAGTGGTTAAAAGACAAGCAAAATACGAAAGAATTAAAAAAAAACCTTCTTTAAATTTAGATATCAAATTAATTAATTGGCCCGGTATCGAAATTGTGTTGAGATTTATTTATAAATTTTACCTCAATCAGGCTAAAAAAAAAAATACTTAGTGTAAATTATAAAAATGAAGAACATGTTATTCCGGAAATAATATTATGGCTTACTGGATTTCATAAATGGAATTTGAGCTGCATTTCCCATCAACCAAAACATGCATTTAAGTTTCATATAAATTCTGCGGCTTAGACTTCATTAAAAAGTCCTAGAGTTTAAAATAGAGGTTCAGCTTTGACAGTTTTTGAAAGTGTTCAGACAATTAATAAATTATGTTGGGATGAATGATGTAAGTCTAGTTTAGATTTTGAACTCCGTTCTAAAGGTGCTGAAGAATAAGAGCGGGTTTTGAATATGTGGAAAAGTTCATAATGAATGGGTTTATAGAAGGTAAAAAGGATATACTATATATACACTTAAATATAAGTAATATATGTATATCGTGTAAATAACTCTGTAACTGGAACGAATTTTATTTCTAAATCTTTAATTTTCCTCAACAAAATAGACAATTCTATATAGCAAAGCATCATAATGAGTACTTATATATAGTATATAATATTTAATGAAATATGACAGCATTGGTGATAAGAACCTGCACGGGGACTTACGTGCTGAAAAAAGTCCCTGTTGTAGGTCCCACTCGCTGCTGATAAAGATAAGGTGAGACAAGTGAATCCCATAGCTATCTGTCTTGGGCTATAAAATCGCCATGTCCCGCTCAAGTCAGTCACAGTTGAATTTTACAAATCAAAGTATTCACATCTCCAGTTAAAGATGTCTTCCAGCAAGTGTGTTATTGTGCTCGTCCTGGTCAGTTGCCTGGCCGCACTCGTTGCTGCCAGAGTCAGTGTTATTCCGGAGTCAGAAGCAGGTGATTCACCAATAAGCCATCTGCGCCAGAGGCGTTCGCCGCAACATGGCTCTGTGGTGTTGGAGGCCCGCAAGGATCGGTTTGGAAGCCAGGCGGACTTGCGGTACAATCACAATCTGTATACCAGTAGCGATGGACGTGGCAGCATTGACGCCTACGCCAATGCCAATCGAGATTTCCACCATAATCGCAACAATTTTGGCGGTGGCATTGAGGGAAAATGGCGTTTCTAAATAAAATATCAATTTCTGTATTATTTGCTCAATAAATATTGTGAAAATTGACGACATAAAAAGTAAGCAAATGTTTCAATTTTGAGAGGATCCAATGGATCCAATGCTACGCTGAGTATATGGCCAAAGATTAAATAGTCGGCACTTGAATTAGCATTCCCAGGAGTTGTCTGTGGCAGAGTTGATTTGATATGCGATAAACAATTGCGGACATTTAACTACGCAGCATCCGCCGGCAAAAGATACGAGTCTACAACAACCACAAGAAGAACAACAACAATATGTAAACGAGGCTGCGTGCAAAAATCAACAACATCAGTTGTTGTTGTTGTTGTGTATTGCGTGCTATAAGTGATTTCAAAATGAGCCACAAGCGGGGAGCAACCTTAAGTCACTTCTTCAACCGCCGCCCAACACATCCCCTCCTCCAACACTTTGGCCTCTGTTTTTGTATCTTGTTTTGCGTGCGTCGCGTCTTTAGCAAGTGATTTCAATTTAATTGACAGTCCTTGAACTTGACTTAAACGCCAACCACAACACACACAATCACAATAACAACTATAGCAACAGCAACAGCAGCCGGCATTTCAATATGCCACACAGCTTCCTCTCCATCTCGCCATTTCCCATTCCAGCAGAACTCTCTCCACAGTCTTCAGAGAGAACTCTCTGGCAAATGTCTAAACTTTAATTTCTCAGGCGCTCTCATTTTGCTTCTCTACTCAGCTGCTGCTGCTGTTTTCTGTGGCCATTCTACGCTTTATACATTATTGAAAGAAAAAGAAAAAACAAAAACAAGCCAGAGTGCTCTAGTCGAGAGCGCTCGACTTGAAGATGCCCTGTACACAATGGGAATCTAGGGTGAAATGCTTACAGATGATTAATATTATGTTGGGCTGCTTACTAAACCGATTAGCAAGACATAAGTTAAGAACGGTGACGTTTGTTGCTATCGATAAGCGATTTTTATCGATATAGGAGAGAATGCATGTAGTTATCGATCAAATTAAACTGAACTTGATCTACGTGTGACATACGAGCTGTGAAGTTAAAAATTGCATGCAACAGTCTCTAAGATCGGACTTGACTATATCTAATCAAGAGTATATCTACTTTATGGGGTCGGAAATGCTTGCATACTCTTGCACCACATCATCATACCCATTTGAATAATTTGTAATGGGTACAGTGAATAACAAAAAAAACCTAGTGCTAAATAGAAGATTAACAAAATGTTTTTTGTGCGTGCGTTAAGCGATTTTTGTATATTTTTGGTTTCTCTGTCATTTGTCAATTTAAACTTGGCGTTTATTTGATACCCTATGGCACAGAAAGCGAATTAAACTATGTGTGGATTTTGTTATTAACAAAAGGTTTTATGAGGCTGACGATATGATTTTAGCCGGCAACTTTTCTCGCCTATTTATTACTAAAATATGCATTTCTTATTTTCATATTAAATTTATTGCAATTTCAGTTCTCAGTTGTTATAAAAAATGTTAGTTCAATATTAAACTATTTAATTTATTAGTTTTAACATCAAAGCAGATTATTTAATTTACGTTCGCATTCAATTTTTCGTTTTGTCATTTTCGTGTTGTTGACGAACTTGAAAAACGAATAATTAAGACGGAATGAATAAAAGAGCTATGTATATTTAAAGAGAGACAGACAGAGTGAGAGAGAGAGAGAGAGAGACAGGGGCAAGGCGTGGCTGCTGCTTTATTTCATTATTATTAATCTGTTTTTATATTTGTCGTCATATTTTTTTTGGCAAAACAAATCTTGAGAGCAAATTGGATAGACTTGAGCAGATAGACACGTATGATTGTAGCATATATCATTTATTTTGAAAGCATGCGTACGCCACGCATTATTCAACGACTTGGATCGGCCAAATAGATGCTTATATGTGTGTGTACACACTTGAAGATACATCTATACGAATAAGTATCTAACACGCGGCCATTTCATTCAGTGCGCGTCAATGAATGTCTTCAGTGTGTGTGTGACTGTGTGTGTGTGTGTGTGTGTGTATCTTTCGATATGAATGGTTAGCAAGAAACGGCTGCTCAACTAGCCTCTTTGTGGCCCGCTACAGTTTGAGCAGGCTTATAAAAATATTCAATTATGACTCGGCAAGTTGGCAACACGTGTCGATTTTTCAATGCTTTCAGTTTTCTATTTCTATTTCTTATTGATTTTTTGGTTTGTTTGTTACTTTTTTGCTTGCTTGGATACCTCATGAAAAATACGTATACTGGGGCCGCTCTTGAAGCGGACACACAGGTGTGTGAGTGTGTGAGTGAGCATACGCCCCGTGGGCTCATAAAAAACAAAGCGCACGCCGCAAGAAGATAAATAGCCACAGGTGACAAAACGATATTCAAATGCATAACTTGATATTCAATAGATAAGCTGATCCAGAGCTCGAATAATAAAAGTAAATGAAACCTACACAGCAATAAAACACACACACACACACACACAGATAGGTGTACAATTTTCGAGCGAGTTGAAAAAAAAACTTTCACCCGCAAATGATCCATGGATACAAAAGCCCGAAAGACTTTCGCATTCAAATCGATGAAGCCAGAAGCCAAAATGCGTTAAAGTACGCACATCTAATTACAGCACTTGAATCAAAACTAGAGTGTATTTTTTTTGTCGAATCAAATCTGATTAGAAATCAGTTCTCGTCGAGTGGCGTTGCTATATAGAGGGTCTATAAGAATTTCGTTTCACATGGCATTTTACTTTCACGATAATCGAATCTAAATTCAAGTTCATGGCAAAGAGATTGCTAATCGCCAAGGGCAATTTTTATAATTTCTGCATTCTAAAGTAAAGCATTCAGCAGTCAGCAGGCCGCCAAACCTTTATTCCTATCTCTAGCTCTACACACACATGTCGTATACTTGATGACGTTGCTATCAACAAAATCGATAACTAAAAGTGCTACAAATCAGAGATTGTGCTTTTGTCTGAATGTGTTTCTGCATAGACTGCTCAGAAAAAAAGTGCGTGTTTAAGGTGGGCGGGGGGTAAAGATACGCACGATTGTGGCGCCTATTTATAATAAAAAAAAAAATACCGTCCGCACAATATTTTGATTTCTATTTGTGTGTCAATGAACTCGCTTGAACTAAATTCGTTTTTATGATTCTTAGTTTTATTAGCTTTTGTTTTATTCCCCTTTTATTTTTGTTTTATATTTTTTTTTTCTATTTCTGTGCGTGCGTTATCTCAAAAACAAAAATGTTGCGTAGGCCGCCGTCTTCGATGCGTTTAGAAAAGAAAAGTTATGGCAATTTCGCTATAATATGAAAAGTGCTTATAAGCGCATAAATTCTTGTGATAATTAATAGATTATTTAAGTTGGATAGTGGGAATTATGTCAAGAGGACGGACTTCAGTTCTAAGTGCAAAACGATCACAAATAAATGAAAGCAAAAAATGTCATATTTAAATATAATAAAATATTTACAACTTTTATGAATATTTGTCTACAAAGAAATTATAATTTACAGAGTATATATACATGTATGTGTTTATATATAAATAACTATTTAATCGGTAGCAGCATCTTTCGCATTTTCTTATTATTTATGTTGTAGATCTTTGCACCCTGTGAATATATCTATATACGCTGATAAGGGCCTGGGCGGTCAATAACGAACTATAAATATTTCCCACTCTTTATTCACAATCTCTGACCAGACAGATACGACACATGAGTAGGTCTTTAATATATAGTCCAGGCTGGACTATAAAATCGGTGTGTCGGGCTCAAGTCAGCTACAGTTGAATTTAGCGAAAGAAAGTGTTCGCGCCTCCAGTTGAAGATGAAATCCATTAAGTGCATTACTTTGCTGCTCCTGATCGGCTGCTTGGCGGCTCTGGTTGCTGCCAGTGCTATTCAGCGGGATGTTCGCTGTCGGGGTCGACTTGAATATTGTTATTAAAATGCAAGCAATCTTGCAGAACTTTCAAAATTGCAGCAACAATGCCGCTGGCATTCATACCATATTAATAATTGCACAATAAAGATTTTTCAAAATAAAAGAACTGCAGCGTCTATTTTACATCATCAAATTTAAGCCAAGTGTTTTTTAATTTCTAACTCTTAGAATTGTAAATTGTTTATTTCTTCAAGTATTTGATTCGAAAATCCGATGTTTGTGTTCGCAGCTCATCTAATGCGACGAACTCCGATAAGAAACTCGGAGAAGCATATAAAAAAAAGGAATAAATTTATGACACAATATAAAACACAAAATTCTTACAGACTAAGGCGTACGCAAATTGTCCACTGTCCACAGTTATGAAAACTAATGTTCCTAACTCTGGTCGGGGAATAGAAAAATGTATGTATATATGATGTAGGCATGTACATATGTGTGTAAGTACTCGCTTATACATATGTGGGACATGTCAATGAAATGCAGTGGCTATTTACTTAGAGTAGTTGCCAACAACAACAGCAACCAAAACAACAAAATACACATACAGAAAAAAATGGGAAGCTACAACAAACATAAAAAGAGAATTTGATGTGACAAGGCGCCGTTTAAATGCTCTATAATAAAATAAATAGAACGATGTTTATATAATGCATATTTATATTGGTTCTCCTTCTCACAACAATCTGGCAACCCAGTCATTTCCTGTGAATGAAAACTTAGCTCAAAGTTGAGCTGATAAACTGAATTTGGGCTTGTGAATTTAAAAAGATATTTTGAATATGAATAATTTTGTGTATGCGTTGAATGATTGTCAAGTTCATAAGATAGCTGAGAGGCCTCAAAAATGCCGGGCACATAGTGTGTGTGTGTGAGTGTGTGTGTGTGAGTGTGTGTATGTACGAAGAAGTACTAAAAGTCATGAGTCTTTTGGGTTCAATGCACTCACCTCACTACTCTTCGCTGCTGGCGTTGTGTAACCAATAAAAATTGATTCTGTTGCGTGCGGGCGACACTAAAAGGGGCGACAGACACTGCAACAACAACATCAAAAACAACAACAACAAATACACAGTGAGAAAGTTGTTGTGGTAGCTGACTGCACTTTGGGGTTGCATTCGTGAC